GTCGTTTTTTGGTAGTCCTTTTATATGTCGTAAGAAAGACCACGTTCGATCGTTGAATCAAAATCATATTTCGTAGGTTGTACCCTGTTTAACTCTTTCTTTAGCATTGTCAACAGCTTTGTCCTTGGGATGAACATTAGACATCGTCCACCTCCCTCTTCGATATCACAGTCTTTGAGTCTATACCATGTAACTAAATCACAATAGTATACATTGAGCGCTGTGCCCTCATAGCTTTAGCGCTACTGCAAGCGCTAGAGATTTATACGAAAATATCTATCTGTTGATATCCTAGATCAAATGCCTATACATACATGGGCTGATATTTACCCAGGCTAATTATTCAGAAGCGCCCTCATAAAAGCGGCAGCTAAGATGGGGCCCCACCGGACGAAATTCACCACAATGGAGCGTGCATACTCCATAGTAGGCAACGACTTATAAGTGTGGACCTCAAAAGTCTGGAATCTCAGTTTGATTAATTATCGAAGGCAGACGGAATACTTGAATGTGATATGCCTACTCTGGACATATATTAATATAAAGTTGATGTTCAAAGTTACCATAACACGTAACGGTCCACTGTATTCGGCACACTCCACAGCTGGGGGCAACAGTTCCTTTGGTTCACTGTAATACCCGTGACTTAAATATTGGCATATTCGACTTCGTCTCTAATAATAATCCTAAGGGCTATGGACCCGCCTGATTCCGCCACGATCCATCAAACCGCTTTCGGCAATGTTAGTACGCGTATACGAGAAGAGAAAGTTGTTTTTCAAATGTTCTTTGGTCAATAGGATATAGTAGATAGGATGAATAGAATGAAACGAACAAAGAGAAGAAAGGGAAGAAAGCAAGTGAAACATTATATAGGGTGGCCGTAGAGGTGGCATTCTGTAAGTGTTGAAGGGGGGGGGAAGGTGCCAATGGGTGACCATACGGAATAAACCCAAACATTAGTACAAAAACAATACAGACTTCTGATTGGTTCCAAGTTAGCCGCCCCTGTGTTCTTACAATACATGACCACATACCTTTCCAGTGGAATGGCGACGGTCAGTCCAGGCAATGTCTTTCCCACCCTTGTCGACTGTCCCTGAGTGAACAACCCGTGGACACTCTTCCTCTCACTCTCATTCCCTCATTGTCTCTCTTTTTTTCTTCTTCTTCTCTTCTAGGGAACAGTTTGTGTCTACTTTAAACCACTTTCTTCCCCCGTTTCAAGCCTATTGCTCCTTTACTCCTTTTTCGGCCATACTGTGTATCGCCAGTCCACTCACTCTCGACATTTCGCTTTTTCGCCTTACTCGACCTTACTCTCATTCAGGCTCAGACATACTCTCATTCATCTACAAATACAGCTTCTTCCGATTCCATTAAACCCCTTACGACTACTTCTACGCTCCGCTTATATTCAAATGCCCCAAAGGCAGAACACACCTTGACTCGACCCTGACTTTGCTCCGACAATTTGCGCCCAGCATACAGTAACAGTTCGAGGAGACATTCAGAAATCACTCGGCTCCGCGGCGATCAAACACGACTCGACCGTACAAAAACTTCCGCATCCGGCGGCTGGCAACGTGGTACTCTGGAGTGCCACTGACACGGGAGCCGTCAGATCGCTTCCCCTCGCCCCGATCTACCACTGGGAACCCCTCTGGTGTTTCGCAACCTCTTCCTGATATCGAATATACACCAAAATGCGGTTAATATCGCTTCTCACCTGCTTTGTCGCCATTCTGGCGCCGCTAGCCTCCGCCACTCAGCTCCTCGAATCCAATGCACTCAGCGTGTGCATGGAAAGTAGTAACTTCACGGCAACATATTTCAGCGTCGTCTTCTATCCGGGAAATAACTCTCTTGTCGTCGGCTTCGATGGCGTCTCATACATCGAGGGTAAGGTTGTTGCGGAGATGACCCTTACTGCGTATGGCTACGAGGCATACAAGAACACCCTTAATCCTTGTTCAATTACTGGCATGGGTATGTGTCCCATGGCCGCTGGACCCATGGATTTGGGTCCACTTTCTCTCGACCTGCCAGCAGGCACTTCAGATAAAATTCCTGGTATCGCCTACACCGTCCCTGATCTTGACGCAAATGTGCGGATTGTTATAAAGACAGCCGACACTAAAGAAAAGATTGCTTGTGTCGAGGCCTCGCTTTCTAACGGCAAGACCGTTAATCAAGCCGGAGTTTCGTGGACAACCGCTGTTATCTCCGGACTAGGTCTCGCTGCATCCGCCATTACCTCCGGGCTAGGTCATTCTAACACTGCGGCTCACGTCGCGGCAAATGCGCTCTCTCTTTTCGGTTTCATGCAGTCGCAAGCGATTATCGGCATGACCTCGGTTCATATGCCCCCGATCGTGGAGTCCTGGACCCAGAACTTCCAATGGAGCATGGGTATTATCCGCGTGGGATTCATCCAGAAGATCGCCACCTGGTATCAGCGGTCAACCGGTGGAACTCCGTCGACAATCCTGTCACAGCTTGGGGATACTTCTGTGGAGGTTCTCAAACGCCGCAAGCGTGACTTCGCTGACCCAGCAATGAACCTCTTGAAGAGAGCCACGGGTCCCATGATAGTTAAGCGAGCAACTGGTATGGTCAAGAGATCCGACACAAGCCAGAAACTTCTTGTCATTCGAGGAATCGATCGTGTCGGATTCCGTGCGAACATGGAGGATACCAACATTTTCCTCACTGGCCTAATTTTCTTTGCGGTCTTCACCTGCATTGTTGTCATCATCGTTGCAACCTTCAAGGGAATTACTGAGCTACTTGTCAAAAATGGCCAAATGAAGAGTGACCGGTTCCAGGACTTCCGCAATGGATGGAAGATCGTTCTGCGTGGTATCTTGTTCCGACTGACTCTCATCGGTTTGCCCCAAATGTCCGTTCTTTGCCTCTGGGAGTTCACTCAGCGTGACTCGCCTGCCGAGGTTGTTTTGGCAGTGGTCATGCTCCTTTCTATGCTCGTCTCTCTTGGGTGGGCCTCTCAGAAGGTTGTTCGGCTGGCAAAGCGTTCAGTGACAATGCACAAGAACCCAGCATACATTCTTTACTCTGACCCGTCCTGTCTGAACAAGTGGGGCTTTTTGTATGTACAGTACCGTGCAACGGCATACTACTTCGTCATTCCGTTCCTCATCTACACCATGATCAAGGGTATGTTCATCGGTCTGAGCCAGCCTGCACCGGTCGTTCAGACAGTGGCTTTGGTTATCCTCGAGCTAGCCATGCTGGTTGCTGTCTGCGTTCTCCGTCCGTGGATGGATAAGAAGACTAACGTCTTCAACATCTCTATTGCTGTGATCAACTTCCTCAACTCCATCTTCCTCCTCGTTTTCTCGGATGTGTTCGACCCCCCCGGAATGATGATCGGTGTGATGGGTGTCATCTTCTTCGTTTATAATGCCGTGTTCGCTTTGGTCCTTTTGATCCTGGTTCTGATCGCTTCGGTTTATGCCGTTGTGTCCAAGAACCCCGATACTCGCTACCAGCCCATGCGTGACGATCGTGGTTCATTCATCAAGTCCCAAACCCAGCTTACTACTGAATTGGATGCCTTGGGTGCTACAGCGCGTGGTGATATGAAGCCTGGGCAATATAACAACAACCCATTCGACGATGATACCGCTTCTATCTCCAGTGGAAACGGTGCTAGCGTCGGCCGTCAAATGGAGTCAACCTACCCACCGCAATCAACCTACCCGCCGCACGGCTCTGCTGCCCAAGTGTCTCGGTCACCCGTTGACCCATCTGTGCCACTGTTCCCCAGTAACGTGTCAGGTCATCACAATCCTCCCCCCGGATACGACAATTTCGGTCGGTCCCCTTCACCCGCCGGAAGAAGCTTTGATAACACCTCTCCTGTTGGCCAATCTGCTCTGTCGACAACATATCGAGCCCAGAACAGTGCTAGTCCTTGGCAAAGGGGTGCTGGCTATGACCATTAAAAAATGCCAGTGGTCTTTTGTTTTGTCGCTTCCGAGATGAAGATATGTGATTTTGTTTTAGCGCGGGATACCGATGGTCTATAATCGCCATTCCTCTGGGTTCGGGTTTTTTCTCTTTTTTGCTTCTGCACAAGCTGCAGGATCATCGCTTCAGATAAACTTCTTTTCTTAATTCACTCCATTGCTTAATGGTGTGGGCTTTTTCTCATCTATCCCTTCCTTTCCCTTTTTCCTTCTTCCTTCTTCTCCTCAATTATTTTCTCTATTTCTCTCCCCGGTCTAAATCCTTGAGGTGTATTTCCCTTGTTTTTTTTTTAACTTCCGCTCGGCGTTCTTTGATGCATTTGGATATGGGTGATCGGCCTTGAGGGTTTCTCTGTTCTTTTTTGTTGGCTTTGCAGTAACTATTTCTGCCGCCGATGAAATATATTTTCAATTTCTCACGTTATACACCAGTATTTTGGATGTTCTTTTCAGATATCTTTTGAGGTATATACGAAGGCGGTAAACAAAAAGCATACTTTGCTTCAAGAGCCTTTTGATGTAAATATGAAAGCGATGTCTACATATATATGTTGGTGTCGAAGTTTTTTCAATTTTAGGGCTTCGGATCTCTCGTAGAGTTCAATTTCATGAACTCACAACATCCATGCCTGTCGAAATAACCAGAACCCAACAAGACCATCTTGTATGAAAGATAACGTACGAAAAGTAAAGGAATATAAAAAAGAGAAACCGCTATTTTACACTAACAGTGAAGAGCAAAAAGAACCATGAGAGATGCCATGCCATGCCCACGGCACACACAGGAAAAAAAAGGTATCAGAAACAATTCCACATACGAACCAACCCCAAGATCGCGATCATAATCACCACCGCTGATCCATCCCACCGGGAGGCCCACCTCCGGGGGGAGGAGGATACCCCTCCAAGCCACGGGGGCCAGTAGGAATCTGCGGACCGCCTGGGCCCATACCGGGCTGACCAGGCATAGGCGGGAATCCCGCGGCTCCGGGGGGAGGTATGGGGAGGTTAGGGAAGCCTCCTGGGGGCGGAATCGGCAGGTTTGCGCCCTGGGGCATGTTGGGGAGGGGCGGGGGGGAAGCCGCCTGTTGGTGGGGTTCCGGCGGCGTTAGGGAAAGGTGGGAAGGGAAGACCGTGGGCTCCTGGGGCTGTTGGGTAGGGGTATTGATTAGCTGGGTTTGGTCCTGGGTCGGTTGGAGATCGTTTTCTCTTGGAGATGTAGGGTGGAGTTGGGAGAGGGTGGGACATACGAGGTAGCATGCCTGGGGCACCGGGGGCGCCTGGTGGAGGGATACCGAAGGGGGGAGGAGGCATGCCTGGTCGTCCTGGTTGTGTTAGTTTGTGTTCCGGGTTGGCTTTTAGGAGAGCATGGGAGGGATAGTCGTACCCGGGAATCCGAAGGGAGGCGGGAACGCGCCGGGGGCCATCATGTTGGGGGCTTGTTGGCCCTCTGCAGCGTAGGAGGAGGTGATGGAGTCGATAACGGACTGGGCTTTTTCTTGACCAATCTCTGCATCGGGTTCATACGGTTAGCTATCATTCAGCTGTTGGGGTTGGCTGCCTTGCTGGGCCATCGGTTAGACGTACGTTGGTAGTAGTCCACCACGTTCCTCAGGTGGTTTCGGCCGGAGTTATGCGCCTTGCGCACGCTCATCGAGTCGTGCGTCAGATAGACATCACAGTAGTCGCCTGTTAGTTGAAGTGGGGAGTTAGCAATTGGTCGATGGATGTGGGCTTAGTGGCCATAGTCGGGCGTGTCGCATTATGCCCGGAATAGGCTATGACACCACTTGGTCTGTCTAGACCTGTATTTGTGGCAAAACATACAGAAGAGTGCATAGGGAGTTAGCTTTCAGTTGTAAAGATATGGACTGGAGGGACTTATATTTGGGCATCTTGCCGGTTTCTGCAGCAAGTACCTTGCTGTCGTCGCGCGAAAGAGGAAAATTCCCTTTCGGGGTCGGTTTCGTTCAAGAGGCAGGATTCTTTACTAGCAAGGACTGTCCTAATCTGCAATGTCGTGGTCTCAGGTTGAATGTCGGAAGTAAAGCCTTGGTGACGCAGATAAGAGAGAAACTGTGGCAGCAGGACTGGCCAGTGGTTTCGGAGCTCGATGGCGAGGGTTGAGCAGGCGGTCCGTAGTGGCAGAATAGTGTCTTATCGCATCGGATCTCTAGAACAAAGACAACATCTCTCTTGCTGAGGGGTGAATTCTGGTGATCCAAATAACGATATCAATTCTAACTGGCTAGTATGATTTATCACACTCATTAGCTGCCGAAATCGAGGCTCGTCAGCCATATACGACACTCATCTAGTCATTACTACATATAGCACACTCTGCTACTCTAGACATGCTAACGAACCCACAAATCTAGGACGTTGTCTACATTACATGATAAAAAGCACCTTGCACAGGCAATTTATGATGCAGCGGCTTTTTAGGGCCATATTTGATGTCATACTTGTGGAAAATATCCGGCCAGACTGGTATCTCTAGAGCTTTAGAATCGATTGTGATAAGTGAAAAAGCATTGGATTTGTATTGGATTGATCAATCTTCGAATCAAGAATGGTAGCCGAAACCACTGTTCTCCTGAGAGCTGGTTTACATATTCCACCTACTTGCGACAGCCGGGGACAAGACGCTATTGACAACTCCACCTTGTGCTCTCAGATTTAAAACTTGCGCACTCTCCTCGCGCTCAATCTCAAGTCTTCCATCTTCCAGGCTTCGAACGAATGAGACAATCATCTGGAGTAAGCTGGCAAACTTGCGCAAATTCAGTTGCTCGGTCTCCTCCCACTGCTTTACATCATCCCGCACGTCGCGAACTTGAATGTGCTTGAACTGACCATCTGTATGATGGGCGAGAATGAAGTTGGGGGTCTGCGTAAGCCACAACCGGGGCAATTCCTCGGCAAGAATGTTGGCATTCCTCTTAGAGCGAGATCGAGTCTTCAGGTCAAAGACTGCACACTGTGGGATACGCCGGCCTTGCATTGCAATCTCAAGCTGCTGAGGTGCCATTTCTGTAGTGGGCGAAGGATCATCCGAAAGTGTTATTTTTTCGATGGCCGGCAAACCTTCCTCTGCGTTGATACTTTCCTGGGGATCGGGAACGGGCTCTTCGGTCTCCTCGGTATCCGTAACCAGGTCAGGCAAGAAGCCATCCGGTTCAAAACGGATCAAGCACTGCATGTCGGCAAACTTGTACTCCACCACCCGTTGGTGGGACTTGGATCCGCCCACATTTTCATTCCACGTGGTGTATGTTTCCGGGAAAGTATGCCCATATCCACGGATACCGGGGATTGTTTCGGTGGGCGAGTTTTCCCTTCTGATAAAGAAGACGGTCTTGCCGAGCACCTGTACAAGCATCCTAAAGGGATCATCTGCCCCACGTACAAAACGTAGCAGATGGCCCATGGTACTGTTGCACCCAACGATGTCCACGTCGGTCACAGGGAACTCGGGTTTGCCAATTAGGATTGCTTGTACCATTGGTTCGAGAGGGTAAGTGGGATATCGCGCGGCATTTCGATCCCGATAATATGTACCATTGTCTTGCGGAAGCGTGCGCGGATCAGACAGAGGCGTCCACTTTGGTGGTTCTCCTGGTATACATGTGTCAGTCAACATTTACGTGAATGGTGCCTTGTTTGTCACCTTACCTGGAACGATGATACTGCTCTTGTCCCCATCAAGCCAATTGTAGGATGTCAGATATTGACTTTCTGTGATTCGGGAGACATCACTACTTTGATGTTCTGGACTTTCGATCTCATCGTACTGGATTGTCACAAGGATCTCTCCCAGCGGAGGCGCTGGTGAAATAATTTGCCTCCTGTATGCTCCACCTCTTCCTCTACCTCTCCATCGTCCTCGTCCTCTTTCTCTTGCCCGCGAAGACATAGTTGTAGAGTAGTCTAGGTGTCCGAAAGTCGTACCGAGGAAAGTTGTCACGCAATGCAGTAAAGGTATGTAGATGCAGAGGAACAATTATAAGTGGGCCAAAGGATTAAATACCTTCTCGTTTGCTCTTTACGCGCGTTATGTCGCCGCGGTATTATGCTAACAGCCAGTTCTTTCGAGGAAAAGAGTGCATTTTGTCCCCCGAAGAAATAACCCCCGCTAGGCCATAATTAGAGACCATGGTTTTTGATGTGGCCTAGTGATAAAATGGCTGTATTATTTCCCACCCATTTCAACGAGGATACTAACTAACAAGGAGGAAAAAGAAAAGAGAGATCAAGCGAGACAGGATGCAGGAGGCTGTGATCCCTGTCGCCACGTCACATATGGCCTATTCCTGTGCACTCCTGCGCATTTTTGCATCTGTTGGTTTTCCTGCGAATTCCTAGGCAGTCTAACTGGATCGTAAAGATACAAGCCAGCAAGGCATATATAACCCTAGTAGTCTGCATATTTAGTGTAACTGCGCTCTGCTCAAAGGTCAACGAGGCGGAATCCAAACTGTTTCTTATCTATTGACTCTTAAAGCCCTTCTTAACCCCCAAATTTATTCTCTTTCTCTGCCAACTTTGATCTTCTAAGTATATGTTAAGTCTAGTATCTTTTGAGCCTCATTTCCTGTTATGTCTACAAATATCCGATCGGAGCGACTGGCCAAGTATTTTGGGGCCGTCCTCCGTGGAAACCAAGAAGTCCAGGATCAGAACGATTTCAAGCGATTTATTGAAGCAGTTCTGGACCAAAAAGATCCTAGCATTGTTGTTCAGCGAATCATTTCAAGCAAAAGCGCTCTAAATGCCTTGCGAAACGGACTGAGGTTCAACCTCACACCGGTCTTCATCAACGGATACACCGCGAAGTTAATTCAATACCTGAACCACCGCGAAGTCAAGCTTCTCTGTAACGGCCAATTTCTTGAACAGCTTCTTTTGATCATTTTGGAGCCTCGTACACTCTGGGGCGCATTTCTGGAGGCGTTCCGCACGCGGAAACTAACAGAGAGTGCGATCCAGGCTCTATGCTGGTTGATGACGGAGTTGCTTTCATTGCCTCCCTCTTGCGGCGTGGATATTGGAGCCGATGCCCAGATTGTTTTAGACGATGGGTCGCTTTTCACTTCGCCCTCGGTCGATATACGAAATGCAGGCCACAAGATCAGATATCGCCTGGAGATGAAATCACCCACAGCCACCCTCCAGCACTCTGAGATTACTGCGGGCGGTCGACATGATAATGATTTTGCTGATTTCCGCTTGACGACCATTTTCCCTACTGCCGATGAGTTAGTATGTACGGAGAAGCCGTTCTATCGACGTGCTGAAGACATCGCGCAGCTGCCCAGCGGCCAACGCATTGCGGGCCACATTGACAACCAATTTCGCCTTTTACGAGAGGATATGCTCTCGGAGCTCCGCGATGACTTTCAAATTGCAAGAGGCACAAAGAAGGGGCGCCGGTCGGCTTTCCACTTACAAAATCTCTTTCTCGCTAAGATCCGCTGCACTTCTGGGCCTCAGAATCGCCTTCGACCGTGTACCATTGGCGTTACTGCCGCGTTTGGCTTGGAAAAACTTAAAGGTCTTTCGGAAAGTCGTCGCACTGATTTTTTAAAGACCACGCCTCAGTTTGTGAAGCATCGTGCCCTTGGATGTCTGGTTAGAGACACAGAAGTCGTGGCTTTTGCTACAATCGAAAGAGAAATTGACGAACTAGTATCCAATCCTCCAGTGGTCATGCTACGTATTACAGGTGAAGAGGCGCTCAAGAAGTCTCTGCTTTACCTAAAACTCTACCAAGACGTGGAGTTCCTACTTGTCGAAACGGCAATGTTCGCATACGAGCCAATCTTGAAAGGCTTGCAAGAAAGGATCGATCTGCCTCTCACAGAAGAGTTGTTCCTTTACGAGAGAGACCATCCAGTGAAAGAATCAACTCTAGCTCCTTGGAATGTGGTCAACAAGTTGAAGGAAGAATATGGATGTAATATCCAGGGCACCCTCCAAACTTCAACGCCAGTGACACTGGACTCTTCACAGCTAGACTCTATGTTGGCCGGGCTGACACAGAGAGTGAGTCTTATTCAAGGACCACCAGGTAAGATCACGCGAATTCTCTCACCATACGCTCATTTCCAACGCCAAGGACATTAGGCTGACAGTATGAGTTTCAGGCACCGGCAAGTCATTCATCGGTGCCCTTCTCGCAAAGGCCCTGCATGATAATACCAAAGACAAGATCTTGGTTATGTGCTACACGAATCATGCCTTGGACCAGTTCCTGGAAGACTTACTAGACATTGGAATCGATCCCTCCGACATCGTAAGACTCGGATCTAAGTCGTCACAACGCACTGAGCAGTTGGGATTGTTCAAACAGCACTCGTCCTACAAGAGGGACCACACCACCTGGAGCACCATCAATGCGCTCGAAGCGGACGGAAATGAGCAAAAGAACACTTTGAATAGATCCTTCCAAGCCTACAGGAACCTCATAGCTAATGATGTGTCTATCTTGGACTATCTGGAGTTTGAAGAACCGGAGTACTTCGCAGCTCTGACCGTGCCAGAGGACGAAAATGGGATGACTCTAGTCACCCAGGGTGGAAAATCACCCAGGAACTACCTTTACGCGCGGTGGAGAAGAAACGAAGACGCAGGAGTGTATGCCAATCTTCTTCCTGCCCATTGTCACAATATCTGGAAACTAGATAAGAACATAAGGGAGGAGAAAGACAGGACTTGGAGGAGAGCTCTACTAAATGAACAGGCGGAGTCTTTGAGCGTCAGCATAGCATTGTTCGACAAATGCCAAAACCGACTGAGCGCTACCCTGGGTGCGAAAAACCGGGAAATTTTGAAATCAAAGCGGATCATTGGCTGTACCACTACAGCCGCGGCAATGTACTCTGAAGACATTCGACATGCTTCACCTGGCATTGTTCTTCTTGAAGAAGCGGGCGAGATTCTCGAGTCCCATGTGCTTACAGCGATGACACCAGAAACCAAGCATTTGATCTTGATAGGAGATCATCAACAGCTACGGCCAAAGATCAACAGTTACAGCTTGAGCACCGAGAAAGGAGACGGTTATGACCTGAACGTCTCTCTTTTTGAAAGACTCATACATATCGGGTTTCCACATACGACATTGACCAAGCAACATAGAATGTGTCCCGAGATCTCAAGTCTCGTACGCAATCTCACCTATCCTGCGCTGGAAGACGATGAGAAGACCAAAAACCGCCCTCAGCCACGAGGGCTGTGCGACAGAGTCATATTTTTCCATCATGAAAATCCCGAAGACATTTTTGTCCAGGTGTCTGACCGAAGTGATGAGAACTCGAACGGGAGCAAAAGAAATGCGTTCGAGGCAGAGATTGTACTCAAGATCGTGAAGTATCTCGGGCAACAAGGGTATGGAACAGACAAGTTGGTCGTGTTGACCCCATATTTGGGTCAGCTCAGTCTGTTGAGGCAGACTCTGAGCAAACAGAATGATCCAGTACTAAATGACATCGATTCCTACGACCTTGTCAGGGCAGGTCTTCTGTCACACGCGGGGGCTTCCCACTCTAAGCGCCAAATCAAGCTGTCTACAATTGGTGAGTAGAAAGAAAAGTACGGGTACAAACAAGATTCTGTCTGACCCGAGAAAACAGATAACTTCCAAGGAGAAGAGAGTGAAATTGTTATCGCTTCGCTCACCCGTAGTAACAAAACTGGCGACATAGGATTCATGGCGGCCCCCGAGCGCCTCAACGTCCTTCTTTCCCGCGCCAGAAATGTGCTTATTCTGGTGGGAAACTCGGAAACATTTGTCTCTAGTCGAAAGGGTCAAAAGCACTGGAAACCATTCATTGACCAACTGAAGTCAGAGGGACATATATACGATGGACTGCCTGTCCAATGCGAGCAACATCCCCAAACAAATACCATTCTCCGAACAGTTGAAGACTTCAGTAGAGAATGCCCGGACGGAGGATGCTCTGCCCCGTGGTAAGTCCACCAGAAGATTGAATGATAATTTGATATTGACTTTCCCGATAGCGGCGTGAAATTGAGTTGCGGAGTACACCAGTGCCCGTCAAAATGCCACCAGCTTGCGGACCATTCGAAAATGAAGTGCACAAAAATCGTGAAATGGAAGTGTCCCCGGGGTCATTCTTTATCTCTGTCCTGTTCCCAGGCCAAGGGTTCGTGTCGATTCTGCATTCAAGAAGACCAGGTCAAAGAGCGCCGGCGTAAACGCGATCTAGAGTTGGAGCGAGAACGGCAGAGAAAGCAGAATGAGTACGCCCGGCAGCTTGCAGAGGCTCAGGAGGAAGCCTCCCATCTCAAACGTGTTCGACGTGATGAATTCGATGACGCGGAGCGAGCGAGGGTTCTTGAACAACATCGCCAGGAAATTGAAGATCTGAAGAACCCCCCACGACCACCCTCGCGACCAGCATCCCCTCAACGGACATTGAGCTCTGGAACAATCACAAGTATACCCTCAACCACCACAGAAGCAAGCTCGGATTCCAGCGTTACAGATTCCAGCGTTACAGGCACTCAAAGCCCTAGTGTTCAGCCTACAGGTCGACAGGTAATGCCGCCGAAAGAGACATCGGCGGCTAAAGGAGACTGGAACTATCAAAAGAAGTTCCTCAATGCCCAAAGCCAGGAGATCGACAATTTAATTGACATGATCGGACTTGAGTCAGTGAAGATGAAATTCTTGTCTATCAAAGCGAAAGTGGACGTTTCTATCAGACAGAACATCGACTTGAGCCACGATCGATTTGGATCTGTATTGCTCGGGAATCCTGGTACCGGAAAAACAACCGTTGCCCGTCTCTATGCAAATTTCCTATCGTCCATGGGGATCATTCCGGGCGACAAATTCATCGAGACAACCGGGTCCAGGCTCGCGAACGATGGTGTTTCGGGATGTCAAAAGATCATCGAGAATCTCCTGAAAGATGGCGGTGGTGCAATCTTCATCGATGAAGCGTATCAACTTGTCGGTAGCAGTTTCGGTGGTACACAGGTTCTAGACTTCCTCTTGGCGGAGGTTGAAAACCTCACGGGAAAAGTTGTCTTCATTCTTGCCGGGTATCAAAGACCGATGGAGAAGTTCTTTGCGCACAATCAGGGACTTCCTAGTCGTTTCCCGCATGAGCTCAAGTTTGAGGATTTCGACGACACTGAGTTGATGCAAATTTTGATTGGATGCATCGAGAAGACATACAGAAAGCAGATGAAAGTTGAGGATAACCTTGGAGGACTTTACTGTCGCATTGTAGCTCGTCGAGTTGGCAGAGGACGTGGTCGTGAAGGCTTTGCCAATGCACGAGCCGTTGAGAATGCCATGTCCAAGATCTCTGAGCGGCAAGCTGCACGAGTCAGTCGGGAAAGACGACAGGGTGGTGGCAAGATTGACGATTTCTTCCTGAGCAAGGAAGACATGATCGGTCCAGATCCATCGCAGGCTTTAAAGTCATCCAGTGCTTGGAAAAAGTTGAAGAGTATGATTGGCTTGGACGCTGTGAAGAAGACGGTAGAGGCTATTTTGGACACCATGCGCTACAACTTCCGGCGTGAGCTGGATGAGAAGCCACTGGTTGCATACAGTCTAAATAAAGTCTTCTTAGGAAACCCCGGAACGGGGAAAACTTCTATCGCAAAGATCTATGGTCAAATACTTGTCGACATAGGATTTTTGTCCAATGGCGAAGGTATGCAGGCTCCCCCGCCGTAGATAATAATTACTAACAATCGCAGTGGTGGTAAAGAACCCAGCAGATTTTGTTGGCAGCGTGATCGGAGGGTCCGAAAAGAATACCAAAGGGATACTCGCATCTACATTGGGAAAGGTGCTAGTTATTGATGAGGCCTACGGACTGTTCGCTGGAGGTACCTCAGATGGAGCAGGTCCCAGGAGTGACCAATTCAGAGCTGCCGTGATCGACACCATTGTGGCAGAAGTACAAAGCACACCTGGTGACGATAGGTGTGTCTTGCTTCTGGGTTACAAAGATCGTATGGAAGAGATGTTCCAGAAGGTCAACCCTGGTTTCAGCCGACGCTTTCCAATGGACCAGGCATTTGTCTTCGAAGACTTCACCTCGAATGAACTGGACGCGATCTTGAATCTTAAGCTCAAGGAGCAAGGCTTTGGAATAACTGATCTTGGCCGCCGCGTGGTATTGGAGATGCTCGAGCGTTTCCGCAATCGCCCACAATTTGGCAATGCAGGCGAGATTGATAAGCTGCTCGACAATGCCAAAATGCGGTATCAAAAACGCCTCTCTTCCATCAAACGCCCCGGTTCTCTTCCAGATTCTATTCTTGATGCTCCTGACTTTGATGAAGACTTTGATCGTGCGGATAAGAAGGAAAGTGTTGCGAAGATGTTTGAGGGTGTCATCGGATGTGAAGGTATCGTTGCCAAACTGGAAGGCTATCGACAAATGGTTCAGAGCCTCAGACGACTGGACTTGGATCCGCGCACACAATTACCGTTCAACTTTGTTTTCCGTGGTCCTCCAGGTATACACACCTCTGTTCACAGTTCTTTTCCAGAGAAACATTGCTGACATCCAAATCCCACTTAGGTACCGGGAAAACAAGCACGGCCAGAAAGATGGGTCAAGTTTACTACGACATGGGCCTTCTAGCTTCGAGTGAAGTGGTCGAAACATCAGCGACGGACCTGGTGGGTCAATATGTAGGCCAAACAGGCCCGAAGACCCAGAGCGTCCTGGAACGTGGCCTTGGAAAAGTATTGTTCATCGATGAAGCCTATCGGCTGGCCGAGGGACTGTTCGCCAAAGAAGCCATGGATGAGATTGTGGATTGCATTACAAAACCCAGGTTTGCACAAAAGTTGATCATCATTCTAGCCGGGTACGATGCAGACATCAACCAGCTCATGTCAATAAATCCGGGGCTCACCAGCCGCTTCCCAGAGTCTCTTCAATTTGATCCACTCTCCTCGGCAGACTGTATCAAGTTAATTTACGAGCTCTTGTTGAAAGAGAAAAGAGATCTCCTCAGCAAATCGCAGGCCCAATTCGACCTGGTCTGCTTGGAGAGTCCGGACTTCGAGTTTAAGAAGGGAATGTCGCGGCGTTTTGATAGACTATCAAAAACTGCAGGCTGGGCAAATGCACGAGACGTTGGAACGCTCACGAAGACGATCTTTGGCAAAACTCTTCAGTCATCTAGCGGGAAGAAACTGGTTCTGAACAAAGACACGGTGCTCGAAGCGCTCGACTCAATGATCAATGAGCGATCTAGCCGCGAAGTCTTCTCACAGAGCCCTCTATCAACTTCAGTCAAAACGAGGGAGCAAACAGACCTGGCTGTACGTACACAACCTTTGAGCAATCCTGTTACCACGCCGAACAATCAAGGCTCGGTCAATGAAGAGGTGGCCTCTAGCAATAAACCAGACCCGGCAGAGCCTGGAACAGACACATCCACTTCTACCACGGAGCGAGATGCTGGTATTCCCGACGAAGTGTGGTATCAACTCGAAAAGGACAAAGCTCTGGCAGAAGCTAAAGAGAAAGAGTTCTTGCGTTTGAAAGATGAAGAGGAAGAGCAGAAGAAGGAGATGTTGAAATTGAAGGCGGCGGAGGAGAAGGCAGCACAGGAGCTGGAAGAGGCAAAGAGAAAAGCAGACGAAGATGCAAAGATTCGCCACGAACAAGCCCGATTACAGCTTGAGCTGGAGCGCAGGAGACAGGAAGCAATCTTGGAGAAAATCCGCAAGCAGCAAGAGGCTTTGGCTGAGGCACGTCGTAAGGAACAAGCCAATCAGATGAAGCTGCGGTCCATGGGAGTCTGTGTACAGGGCTACCAGTGGCTTAAACAAAACGGTGGATACCGATGTGCTGGTGGTTACCATTGGGTCTCGGATGGTCAGCTTGGAAGTTCTTGAGCTTGGGATGTTGCATTGAGAGTGGTTGGGTTGTCGTTCAATGGGAATTTGGATGCCATGGATGCATGGATGCTGATCCTTGGGGATGCTGTTGTGTCTCAGCATAATTTGAGATTCAAAATGAACTTTTTCTGTTTCCAAAACCATTATGCTATCGTCGTAATATGACTGAGTCAATAATCCAACGTATCACGAATCCTAAACAAGCATTTCAGACACGACTACTAACCAGGTTCGGAAGTCTTGTTTTTCTATGTGTCCTACACAAAACGCAAAACGTGTTTCATATTATACCATCTAGAAGTTGGTATAAACGTCAACCCGCAATAACCATAGAACGTTGCGATGGTCGTGCGAGATATGGATCAACAAGGTGACTGACCTCCAAGGTTCCCACCCAAAACCCAAACTCCAAATCCCAAATCCCAACACCAACACCTACCGACATCTTTAGCAATACCAAGCCAGCCAAAACCCCAAGCCAACGAGCTTAGCCTCCGACCCCGGTGACCTCCCGCAAACGTAACACAGCTGACCCGATCAGCAGAGTACAGTAGGAAAGTAGTCACATCGACAAGCACAAGGCCAGGTAAAACGGTAAATTGGCGAGATGATACAATTACTTGATAATAATAGCATCCAAAGCCTACGTAAGTGCCAATCCCGGTACGATACCCGGGGACCGGATGAGCAGGGAAGTGCTGGAATCCCCTAGAGCTGGCGGGGCCCGGGGGTACTCTAGCCATAGAATTGGGCAGTGTACTTTCTTTTCTATATCCCCCGGTTCTACATAGAAAGGTCCAATATACGTTTACGCTTTTTGCCGCTTCTATATACAACTAAATTATAATGTCCCTAATGAAATCAGATTAAGGACTTACGTAGTGAAGCAGAGAGGCCACATAAGCGGCTGAGTATTCTTCCAATATCATTGTACATCAAATGCAGTCCTTGCGCCATCTTTGAATAATAATGGCAGCCCCGGCACTAAGCCGCCAAACGAACCGGTTCCCGGGTCTCGACCTGGCGACACTGATAATCATGTGTCATGGTACTGCGCTATTATCTAATAAGGGGGTAGTAGGTGGCTAGTGTATATATGGAATGGACTAGGTATGTACGATGGGCAATGTCACGGAGTACTCGGCGTTTGGTTTAATCGCGCATTTAGAGTATATGATATAGTTGTGTTTGATATGTGAGGGGTGATCGAAATGCGATGTACTCTATGAAGAATTCTAAGTCAGGTGCAGGGATCGGGGTTTTTTTTTTTTTTTTTGTATACCTTACTACATCTGTGTCACTAGAGAAAGACACGTATTCATGAAACTTGTGTGAGGTCACAGCGGACCTACTGCAGTGCCGGGGTTCATCTCGTTGAGGAAAGGTCATGCGAGAGACGCATGACTTCGGCAGGTCCCAAACGGAAAAGTTGGGGAAAAGAAAATCTGGGGAAATGGGAAACGCACAGACGAGGGATTTGATTTGTTGTTTCGCCGCTCGGATCACTCGGCCAGTCAGCGCACATGAGGATCGGTTTTTTTTTTTTTTTTTTTCCTTTTTCCTTTTTTCTTTTTTTCTTTCAACGTCATTCAGTATCTCTGGGGAACGGCACTTTACCAATTCCGTTTTCGGACTGCTCGGCTCAGACAATGAAGCCAAGGGGGTCAACCTTGGACACCATTCTCGGCATGCTGGGCAATGGAACTAGTTGGACTGCGGTGAGTGAATTATTGATCTCCAAGACATCAGGTACCATGTGCAACAACTAGCCGATGCCCTAGACTCCTAAGGTTGGATCGACGTGGGCCGCTAAGGAAGAATTATCCCGCAAATTTTCAGCGCGATGGAGTCATCGTACATAGCGATCTACGTCCTGAAATTTGGTGTACATAGCGTATTTTATTATGTACTGATCTGAATCTGATATTGATATTCACAATCAAATCGGTATATAACATACATTGTGCAGTACTATGTAATTAGTTACATCATATAGCTTGTACCAGTTTCACGTTCACGGATGCTTCCAAGGGTACCACCTACCCACCTTACAAGCACACCCGGGAAGAAATTGAAAAAAAAAAAAAAAAAAAAAAAGGGTTGCACAATAGCCCCCTGTTCTCTGGAAATAGAAAGTGGACACGGCCCGGTGAATGATGCAATTGTTGGAGCAGTAAAATACCTGCTCCCTTGGTATGTTGTATTCTGTACTCTACAATACATCGTGAGTATTTTATTCTCTGCCAGCTCATGACTACAATGCCTAATACCAGCTACACCCTTTAGGTATGTAGATGCCTAAATGGTAGGAATTGCGCAACACCTGACGTGCTTAAGAAAATGGCCCCTGTTGCGGTGTGTGATTACAAGGGATAATAACGTGAGGTATACTGTACGTTGTCAAGATCTGGACACTCGATGATCCTGAAATGAGAGGTTTTTCTGCATTTCCTGGGGGTAATGGAAACCCCCATTGGTTGCTATTCCAGTTTCTGTTACGTCTTGCCACTCACCATTGGTGGAGCAGCCCCAGTCAGATGACTTGGTTGCCCAGTGGACAATTTGGTAAAAGCAGCCAGAATTTTATCATCGGGGGGAGGTTTAGGGCCAATCATCTTCCTTAACCAGATCACAGGGCTTATTCAGGCCACGTGAAGGTGCTGACATAGCACCCAAAATGGAAATATCCCTAGCCGCTAGACACCGATGACGACGGGAAAAATTCAAATAAAATAAAAAATGAAATTTTCAAAAATAAAAATAAAAAGAATTCAAAAACAGACCCCCCACAGGACCTTGTGACTGGATGTCGTGCCTGGATCTGGAAATGACTCCAAAAAGGTCCCAGAGACTATATAACATGGAAGTCCCCGCTGTTTGTTAAAAAGATCCATATCAAATTCTGCGCTTGATGGAGTTTTCATAGTCCTTACAGCATAGACTGTTTATACCTCTATACTTCAGATCTACATTTGATCTTCACACATCAACCATGCCTTCATCAAATTATCGCGTTGTCGAGCCGCACCCTTCGGTGCCCCATGCTGGCCGTCCAGCTGTCTACACAGGCCGAGGAGGATCCGGGAATGTCGTCAACCTGAAGGACACCAAGACCACCGACTCGCGCAGCGCAACCGGTCCCGCCTCTCTCGCTCGTCTCGACTCCCGCGTTCCAACAACCTTTATCTCTGGCCGTGGCGGTGCTGGCAACGTCCACAGCAGCAGCGAGCGTACCATCTTCAGCTTCGACGAAGAACTCGAACGTGATATGCGCCGGGCTGCCCCCGTCTACCACGTCGGTCGTGGTGGTGCCGGTAACACTATATACCGCGACGACTGCAGCGATTCTAGCTTGAGTCGCAAGTACTCTGCTGCCAGCACGGCTACCAATTCCAGCACTGGATCCGTGGCTGATCGTGCCCGTGACATGGCCCGTCGTGGTCTTGAGAAGGGCTGGGGCAAGCTGAAGGGCGCCGCCTAGATGCATGTTCTACTTCCCTTCCAACACTTCTCGTCCTTCACGAGATCAATTTCAACGACATAACGACAACCAAAAAAGTTCTTGCCTTTCTCTTGACCACTTCTCGTTTTTTAATCACACGGGACTTCCACCGCATCACTCAGACCGAGACATTAAGGACAGCCCTCTCGCTACCTGTCATCTTTCAGGATGTGTCTGCGAATTACCCCAATCCCAATTCCAATTCCAATTCCAACCATTCATCTATCTCCCACGGAACACACATCATTCCTTTGTTTCCACATTGAACCCTCACCTCTTCACTCAATCTCAAACTCAAACATGGACAAACCGGCGTTTCATTGTTCTTTGGTTAATTTGCGCTCTCGCCAAACCACCCTACATTACACGCCAGGTTCTGGAAACCGGGTTCTCTTTTATGGAGTTTCATTCAACACACCCAAGATCGCGCCATCGAACAACAATTGTCTGGCCGTATCATTCTCGGAGTTCCCCCTTGATTTCTCTCATTGTGTCGCACATTCTGTGTTTCCTTTTTCTCTGTTTTTCAACATATTCCCCCCAATACTGCGCCACTCTGAGCTACTACTTCCTAGCCGTGGGTTTTAACCAATGAATTGCAAATTACATGCTTGGGATGTTCCCTTGCTGGATTACGTGTCTCCAAAACATTTTCTCCATGGTTCCCATTACATCATTGTAGTAGTAAATTTCGTATGTTTAAGACGTGCTCATATGTCAAGACGTGCTTGAGTGAATGGGTTCCACTCATAGCGAATCTAGACTTGGAGGTGTCGCATGTCGAGACGTAAGGTTGTATCCGCGGATAGGCGATGACAGCCGAATTTGATATTTTTTTGTTGGGATCCACGGATGTATTATTGTTGGTGCTTTGTATTTTATCTGGAATGTTCTTGGGGCTTTGTTATAATTTGCTTTGTTTCTTTTGGTCCATGGACGGATGTTCTTAATTCGGATAGTCATTCTATTTTTTCTTTGTATTGGTGTTCGGTCTGAATCCTGAGTCCACCGCCATGTAATATGTGGCGACAGATATATATTCTTATAATTTTTATTTCTATTGAGGCAATAACATAAAGTAAGATTTCAAAGTAAGCCGCTTATATATATCGACTGAGGCGATCTAATCAAGCTACGTGGATGGGATAAAAAAATATATATATATGGTGAGAACTTGTGTATGCAGGTTATGTCCGAGTTAAATTATGTCTAGAGTAGAACCACCCCCAAGACGCAAAAGAGACTGTATTTGCAATAAAGTCAGAGCCAATGCCAAGACGACATGAACTGGTTAGGAAATTGGAAACTGGGGGTATCAAGAGTCGGGAATGCGACTCGGATTTGTGATGTTGGTCAATCACTTCTTGGTATGCACTGCCAATTGCATGATGATCGATCCAGGTTGACAAGATCTGTTTCTTGTGTTTGTTCTGAGGATTAGTGATGGTGCTTTGGGGAGCGCGTTGGAGGCAGTGGATGTGAGCAGTCCCAGAGTTGACTCGGAAGCAAGCCACCATGGTATCAAAGACTTTCGTCATAGACGACTCGAGTCCTTTATGCGAATCGCTTGTGGATCACCTCGGGATCCTCGTGCCATTCGTCTGCGCTTACCCACATCTAGAAAGCGCTTAGTTAGCTATGATACATTGGCAAGGGGGAGGGTTTGCATACCTTTCTAAACGTGCTCAGGCCAGCAAGAATGCTACCACCAATCCACGTGGTGTATTTGCGCTCAGCAGGCGCAGAAATGCGGATCTTCATGTCCTCGACTGCTAGTTTTTTGATCTCGCGCATCAACCGATCGGGGAAATTCTTGCACAACGTTGAACCTCCAGAAAGCACAATATTGAGGTATAGCGATTTTCGCAGGTCGAGATCTGTACGAGTGATGGCGTCCTGCACGATCTGATGCACACCGGGATACTCGAGGCCGATGAGTTCGGGATCGAAGAGGATCTCAGGCGCACGGTAACGTTCTTGGCCAATCTTGAGAGGTAAGTTCATTAGCATTGTTGTAATCCAACAAATGATATTCCAAGACAGTGCATACCTTGATCTTGTGACCGTCCGGAAGAGCGTAGTCCATCGCCTTCGCATCAGACTTGTGGTAGTTGTTCATCCACTCCTTCTCTTCCCGCTTAGGATCCAGCGACACGTAGCAGACCTTCTCCTTAATCATCCGCACAACCTCCTTCTCGGCGCTAGTGTGCAGCACATGTCCAGCCTTCCGCAGTAGCAACTGCATCTGCTCCGTAACATCACGACCAGCAACATCAATTCTCCGAATACTGTTCGGAATAGCGAAACCCTCGAAGACAGGCACTGCGTGGGAGACACCATCACCAGAATCCAAGACGACACCGGTAGTCCGTCCAGACGCATAGAGCGACAACACAGCCTGAATCGACATGTACAAGGCCGGGACGTTGAAAGCCTCGAACATGAGTTGGGCGGCGATATCACGGTTGGCGCGCGGGTTCAGCGGTGGCTCCGTGAGCAGGACGGGGTGTTCTTCGGGGAGTGTCTTGAGTTCGTTTTCGTAGACATAATGCCAAATCGATTCCATATCTTCCCAATTTGTGACAATGCCGTGTTCCAGAGGATACCTAATCTTCAACAGTCCGCGGAGTTCTTGTGCACGGGACCCGATGAACGAGTCTCCTTCCAGACCACCGGCCATCACCCGTGGGTGCTTGGGACGACCGACAAACGACGGGAAATAACACGATGGAATCTCCTCTCCGGCGAAGCCTGCTCGGATCGTGCCACTGCCATTGTCGATGACAATTGGCACGTTGTGAAGGGTTGCCTCAGCCATTGCGGGGAGTGTGGTGTGGATGGGAGGTAATGTCGGGGAAGGACAAGCGCGGGTATAGACGGCCTCTCGGCCTAGAATGGGCGACTCGGAGGATTGACGGGGCGGAAGTTGGATTGAAGACGCATGTAATGTTTCGGTGGCTGGGGGTTGATGTTCTTGTCACTGATTCAGGAGTGGACGCGAAACCGCAAATCCGCAAATCGGGAATTGTCAACAAGGAGCTTGGGCCACTCTTAGTCCACGCATAGTAAATTAGACTTGCAACGATGGAATTGAAGTTTACAGAATTATTATAATACTTTGACTTGCTCCTAGTGAAACAAGAAACATCAGTCAAACATTTATGCTAAAAGCTAAGCGGTGGTGGTTCATATAGGGTTATACAGTAATTGATTTCGTGGTCTGCCAGATGAGACTTCCACATCGATTTATAGACAGAACTCGGACCGATTGCTTGATCGATGCCCGGTGTAATTTCATGCAACATCATAATTCGTGATAAAGGACATCTCCCAATCCCATTTTTCAGTCAACAAAAGCGAATTCGCGTAAATCGGTCCTTGTAGGTCACCAGATGGATCCCTTTAGTCCAAAAAGCTCAACTCGTCAGACATACTTTCTGCAAGAGTTGTATTTCCAGTTCGCATAGACAATACCTCAGCTTTCTGAGTCTCTGCTCTGCTAATTGCATTGCCAACATCCCTGACCAGAAATTAGCCAGACTGGCCGAGCAGACAAAGGAACGATAGATTATTTACTTGACCGAACTACTAATCACGTAGTTCCCTTCCTCTAGCTCATCAGCCAGTTCCTGCTGGTGATTATCAGCAAGGTCAGGATTGGGAACCACAATCAAGGGCACACCCAAGCGAAGACCTGCCAGAACAGTCCCACTTCCTGTACGATGGTAAGTGGATCAAGGCCGGACATATTTGATACGCAAAATAGTGATGTATCATACCGGCATGACAGATGATCAAGCCACGCTCTTGATCAAGGGCCTCTCTTTCCACAGTCATCATCATTTGGGCATCAATGCTCGGCTGAAAGTCGAATCCTCCCAGGGTGAGACCGTGGTGGGGCTGGTCACTGTCGATGAAGTCTTGGAAGACTTGCTGGCCATCTTTACCATATTGAATAAGAAGATGAGTATAGCCACGTTTGGCTAGTGTCTCGAGGAAATGGGAACTAAGTATTTGTTCAAGTAGTTTCTGAAAGGAAGCCGTGGCCCCCACAGTCACAAAACATAGCTTCATCGTGACGATATTGTTGTATTGAAATGGGCAGAGATATCAACCTTCGGAGATTCTCTGGCAGTCAATTATCATCCTCACATAAGGGAGTCATAAAAAGATGCATTATCGAGATGAGAGAACAGTCCAAACATTAAGATGCGATCATATACCATGGTGTCACGTGTGGATGGACCACGCTAGACTAAACTTGGAATAGCGTACGGCGGTGAACCTCGCAAAAGTGGAAGCGGAAAACATCGTGATTGAGATCCTGTCCCTACCCACGCTATACCCTCAACAATGGCTTCAGCAGCTCGGTTATTGTCTCAGCCAGCCAGGCATATGGCCCGGAGGGGCCTCATGGCCCCATCTGCTCGGTACTTCTCCGCCTCTCCGCTCAATCGCGTCCAGGATGACCCCGTGATTCCTCCGCCGCCGAAGGAACTCAAAGCGGAGGATTACCCCCCAATGCCTGAGTACTCAGTCGATCTCCTGACCAAGGAGCAGCGATCAATGTACGATATGATGTCTCCCGAGGACCGCGCGGCATTCGACGAAGAGAACACCCGCATGGTTGCCGAATTCAACAATCCCCAGAAGCGCGCCGCGGCCTTCGAGGAAATTGAGCAGGCCGTTCTACAGATTGATAAAGAGGAGGATCTTCGATTCGAAGACCTTCGTCCCCGTCGCCCTGGTTTCTGGGCCGAGGACGAGCCTGACGAGTTGGTCAACACACTCGAGGATGGAGACGAGGAAATCAATGATGACGAAATCACCTCCCTGGCACATGCAGAGATGGAATTGCACCGTGAAATGAGAGAATATGCCCGCATTACAGCATGGGACATGCCGATGCTGAGCAGTAAGATCAATTGCTCATCGGGGACTACACTTCCCATCCACTGACATTGAACTATAGAGCTCGCCAAACCATTCACCCTGCCTCCCCAAACCCACATCCTCCGCTTCCGCTACACTACCTACATGGGTGAACAGCACCCAGCCGAGCCCAAGGTCGTCGTGGAGCTTGCATCCCAAGATCTGACCCCCAAGTATCTCACCGAAGCCCAGCGCCAAACATTCCTCAAGCTGGCCGGTACGCGCTACAACCCGCAGACCGATATCATTCGCATGTCGAGCGAGAAGTTCGGTTCGCGTGCCCAGAACAAGCGCTACCTCGCAGATGTCGTTAACTCGATGATCAAGGAGGCCAAGGAAGGTGACTCCTTCGCCGATATCCCACTCGATCTCCGCCACCACAAGTACAAGACCAAACTGCAATTCCCCGAATCCTGGAACATGACCGAGACCCGTCGGAGTCAGCTGGCCGCGCGGCGCAAGGAGCGTCTAGCTGCCGAGGAGACACGAGCCGCCCTTGTGGACGGTAATTCAGTTATCTCCGATGCTATCAAGTCTCTGCCTTCGCTTAACCCTGCTCTCCAGGCCAAGGCTACTGACGAGCGCGAGCGCGTTGCTGTCAAGATTGGCGCCCGGAAAAAGGTGGCTCGTCGATGATAAATGTTCGTCAACTGTATATTGGGTGTGTTTGAGAAGCTGTTGTCAGACATTTGCGAGGCGCGGGCGCATATTTCAGGATTTTTGGCATCTTTTCTTTCGAATGTACTATAGTCATTTTATTCCATGCATTGGCGGCTCGCTGTTACTCCATTCCACCTTGTAGTTCGCCTTTTAACTTACAGTCGTACGACTATGCTACTTTCTATGGAGCTCCACTTAACGCTCACAAGTACGTAGATATCACTGGAATGGAAATGGCCAATAGAAAAAAAAACACTGCATTCAATTTCAAGTGTTGTGATGGATATCTGCCAAGACTAGGGCAGTATCAGCAGAACTAACTGCAACCCCGTCATCAGCCAAATCCGACTCCATCTGTACTCGAACCAACAATGACATCCTATCCATGACCGATGGGAGACCTTGCTGCAGTTCAAGAGCCGAAAATAACAGGTCACAAAAGAAATCACAACTCCATATGGGCACATATCATCCATATTCGCAACGCCTCCACGGGTGTAACCATTTCCCAAACCCGGGCAAAAGAAAACAAAAAATAACGCAGAATAAAGCAAAAAATAAAGAAACAAAAAAAATAAAAAGCACCCGAAGAAAAGAAAAACAGTGTCCGCAACGCAAGTGTCTCCTATCTCTCCCTCATGGTGTATTGTCTTGTTGTATGTCTGGACCATTTTCCGTGCTTGTGGCTGGTTGGTATAGTCTCTGTGTGGTATGATATCGCATAATTTTACCTGGTAGGTTGACATCGAAAGGAAATCACGTCGATGCACCAGATCTCATAAGTGCACGAAAAATAGATAAAAATGGTCAGTGAGTGATAACCATGTCAGGAGAACATGAGTACCACCCCCAGGCCAGGCACGCCTGAGTGAAAGTTTGTCGAATGGTCCAATTAGCTGCTGTGAGGGTGGTTGGAGTAAGATCCAAACATGTGCGCAATGTTCTCCGCAGGAGGCGAAGTGCGCTTCAGGATGGGACCTCCAATGGGACCCCAAGTGACACGGGTCTCGGTCGAGTTCAGAGGCACGTTGTCGGTGAGCTGAAGATCCCCAATCTGGGGAGTGGAAGGTCCATAATTCATCTGAACGGTACCATGAGAGCTGTTGGAGTCGGACTGGTTCCGAGAAGGAACATCAACGCGAGCGAAGGCACCGAAGTTCGAATCGTAGGTCACAGCGGGCTCCTTGGGGAGCATGACACCGCCATCAGAAGAAGGGTTCGAGCTGTACTGGTACATGTGACGGGGCTGGACGCGGTGATGAAGTTCAACCGGCTTGTGCGAGGCATCTTCGAACATATCTTGATTACAATCGGTCAGCTCGCTGAGCTTCCAGTATGCATTCCGGTTGAGGGAGTTACCGTCATCCAGAAGAGACTGGTTGGGAGCCATGGGAACAGCAACATGGCCAGTAGTCGACACGGCAACTGGGACTGAGGCCGGAACAGCGGCCGGGGAGGTCGGGTTGCAAACTTGGTTACCGCCATATCCATGAGCTCCATAATTGTAGGAAGCTGGGACGGATTCCATGCCGGGGGAATACTCGCTGCTGTGCTCGCTGTCACGCTCGTTGCTAACGCCATGATGAACATTGCCCATGTTTCGGTTACGACCACCGCGATGGGTACCCTTCCAGTTGTTGCCATGATGTCCATTCGGGGCCCCGTTGCGGCTTCCACCTCGGTGCTGATTGTGGGGACCATATCCGTTGTGACCTCCACGGTTGGCTGGTCCACGAGGAGGGGACTTGTTCAACTTGGCGGTTGCATGGATAGTGGAACTCTCATTGGTAGGCGAGGCTGGGGATGGAAGGGCCCGCATGGGGGGCTGATTCGCAATGGTAAGCTGCGAACGATCTCGGTTCGGGTGCAAAACACTGGCAATGTTGTGCTTCTCGCGGAACCAGCGGGGAATATCGCGGAGACCAAGTTTCTCAATCATGTGGAACTCGGTGGGCATTTCATGCTTGTACAGGCAACCTATGCAACATAGCGTCAGTCAAGATAGACCTCATAGGGTCTCGGGCATCCAGTCAACTTACCTTGCTGAGAGTAATCACATTCGCCGTGACGAATCCAGTACGAGCAGTATTCCTTCTTCGAGCTTCCGGCCTGTGTTGAAAGAGTTAGAAACATGAAGCATAACATGCCAGAGCACTCAGCCATACATGCTTATTGCCCGTGTGAGAATTCTTCGCATAGAATGTCGGCGCAATGGGGGATAGTCCACTGGCAGGAGTGCCTTGACCACCAAGTCCGTTAGGGCGCTCGATTCCCTGCATGAGAATGGCCTGCGCCGATGCCCGCATGACATCGGGGACATCGTTTTCGGTAAGAATCTTCAGCAAGAGGCTGTGCATATCTGACAAAGGTTCCTTTCCGACGGCACGCCCAGAGGACTGGGTAACCCCGTTGATGGACCAAGGTTCAGCACGTTGGGTAGCCAGGCCACAGCTGGTCATACCCTGGGTTTCTCCAGCATTGAGGGTGCGAGAGACACCACAGATGGTGACGTTAGTGGGAAGCTCATCAACAGCTACCAGTGGGGTCAAAGTCCCGTCAGGGCGGGTACAGAAAAATTGAGGGCGACTAGGAGCCGCCATCTTGACAAAAGGTAAGACTTGATCAAGATAAAAATGAGATATTGAAGAAGGCAGTAATGTGCAATAAGAATGGAGTGATAAGGGAAGAAGTAAGAGGGATGAAGGAAAGAAGGTGGGGAGAAGACGTTTGTGGGAGAAGAGGATTATGGGAGAGGTGACAAGCGACAGAAGGGGTAGGTGACAGCCCTGGAGGTGACAGGGTGACAGGTGATAGGGGACAACCCTAGACAAACGGACACAAATTGGGATGAAGATGAGATGAGAAACTGAAGTTGGTGGGAAAACACAATCTCATATATTGGAGACTCTGAGATCTTGAAGCTTGACTGTGATAATTATCTACACATCAAAGAGATATATGAATTAAGTCCGTACAATGAACTAGACTATCCTAGATACACTGGATATACTGGATACACTGGATACACCGAATACACTGGATGTATTGGGTACACAATGGGGGATTGATCTATCTCCAAGCTCACAATAAGATCCCTATGGAGACAAAGAACCCCTAGTCTATCAGATCAGGGAAATGAGGATACAGTGGTGCACATGATATGGAGACATTGTTTCTCGGCATATCAAAGATCAAAAAAGAGCAGAAAAGTCTAAACGCTGTAAGAATAGACCACTGAAAGACACGAATAAGCTGTGTACCATTTGAAATCCAATGCCTTTGGCTTGTAAAGGCGTGAACGTGTGTCTTGACAGGAATGACCGGCTGCCTACAGAACATGCTTAGTCCAATTATAAACTTGACCTTCCATACCTTTTCCACGTGTTCCTTGCCTTAAACGCGCTTATATCAATACTATGCATGTTTAAGACTTCCAAATAGGCCTGGTCCTCTGCACTCTGCCCAGGGGTAGAGGGCAAAGCAAGAGTGGCCTACTAATACAGACAAAGATTAGAGTACTATTTTGTGAGAATAACACAATGATTTTGTCTCTTAATCGATTTCAAGGTTTCTACGGGTATGTGTGAGTTATCTTCCCTCCCTGGGATACCTCTTCGACCTAGTACGACTCATCTCAATATCAATGTCCTTGGCTACCTTATGTCAACCATATAACCTCTAGAACCACACATCTTTTTGGCAATACACTAAGAGGAATTACTAGTTATTTCTCTTTCACATTAAGGAAAACTTGTATTGCTTGCTTGAAAAGGGACAAAGTGGTTTCAGGCGGCTGCCACCAACCTGAAAATAGCCCAAACAGATGAACATGGGAATATTCAGAGCCATAAAATCAAAATTGGTCATATAAAAAAAAAACAACGAATCAAAAAAATCAAAACAGATAACCTTTTACGCTCTTTTCCTTTCCTGTCGTGTCGGATGTCGTTCACAACGGCTCAGGCCAATTGGAACGTTGGAAGGCCCCGTGACTTGGCTTGACCTAACTCTCGCGGTAGAACACAATCTCCCAAAAGTTGGAACATCTTTCCAACTAAAAAACCCACGAAATCTAGCGTAGATTCCAAGTCAAATAAACACTTCCATAGAAACAAAAACAACTGAAATGACAAAATTTCTCAACTGCAGTTCTGTCAAGGCCATCATGGCGACATTTGGCCCATGGTATGCTTCTCTCCTACAGCGAATCCCAGGAACTTGACAGCTAGGCCTCTTCCTTGAGCTGGAAAACTTCCTGCTTAAGCCGGGTTTCTTGCTTGAGCTGTGTCTCTTGCTTGAGCTGGCTCTCTTGCTTGAGCTTCATCTCTTGCTTGGGCCGGGCCTCTTCCTTGAGGTGCACAACTTCATGCTTAAGCCGGGTTTCTTGCTTGAGATGGACGACCTCTTGTTTAAGCCGGGCCTCTGGCTTCTGCATTGACAGATTTTCTTTCACTTTACGTCCTCTTTCTTGTCTTCTTGATTTGATTCTGTCCGCGTTCTTCTGGTAGTATTCTCGTGATGTCGATTTGATCCTGTCTGCGTTCTTCTGGTAGTATTCTCGTGATGTCGATTTGATCCTGTCTGCATTCTTCTGGCGGTATTCTCGTTTCCTCAGCCTGAAAATGTCCGCGTTCTTCTGGTGGTATTCTCGTTTTCTCAATCTGGTCCTGTCTGCGTTCTTCTGGCAGTATTCTTGTCATTTGGACTTTTCTCTCTCTATATTCGGCAAATTTAATTGTACACATGATGCGCTGGGCCCGGCGGATTGTTGATTAATTCCCCGGGAAACATTCTGGTATGTATCGTAGAACCATTTCTTTTCTTCAATGGCCTCACCCACATCCAAAGCCTTGTTCATCTCATGCTTCAGTTGTGACAAGTCATTTGTCAGATTATATGGGAGCTAGCACCAAGTTAGCTGTGCTATAATCGTATGGGCCAGTGCATGCTTACTATGTCACATCTAGAATGCTCTCCTAAACAATGGTTACAACTGGAAGAGCTTCCATGGGTAATTTGGCAATCCGGTAGCCTTTCGCCGGGCTTTAGTTCCTTTCCCAATTGCTTGAAACACATGAGGCTGAGCTGGTCTTCTGGCTTTGTGTCCGAAGAATCAGGGCGATTCTGAGTACGTGTCTCTTCCAAAAGATCTTGGGAATCGAAGGAGATGAGACTGTGCTTAGAGTCGGAGTGGTCAAAATTGGCCGTCAGTTCATTTGGGTCAATTTTGGGGGCCAATGGCATCTTAGAATCATCACAAGATGGATCTTGTTTGATACCAGTGGCGGAATCCTGTTCCTCAATACCAGCTGCCAAATCAGGGTCAGGCTTTTCAGCCTTAATTGATGGCTCAGTTGGATCAATTTTGGGGGTCAATGAAATCTCAGTATCCTCGCAGGATAGGTCTTACTTAACACCAGTAGCTGCCTTCTGGTCTTCAAGGCGAACTTCTGAATCAGGATCAGATTTCTCAACCTTGATCGATGGTTTAGTTGAGTTGCTTGTAGGGGCCAGCGGCATCTCAGTAGCATCGCAGGATGGATCACGTTTGACACCAGTAGCTGGCTTCTGGTCTTCAAGACGAGTTGCCAAATCAGGATCCGGATTTCAATCTTGATGTGTGGCTCAGTGGGGTCGATTTTGGAGGCGAAGGGCATATCGATATCCTCGGAGGATGGTTTCTGATTAATACCAGTAGCGGCATTCTGATCTTCAAGACTATCTATCATATCAAGGTCAGGTTTCTCAACCTTGATCAATGACCCTTTCGCTACATCATCGATACATCTGTTAATGCTTCCACTTTCCATAAGTAGAAGTCTTCTATGATTTTGTAGACCAACCTTGTTCATGATCATCACCCGGTGTTTTGACTGGAGCATCTCCAGTCCGAGGCTGAAGGATGCTTTCCGAGATACTAGGCTCCTCGAGCTTCTGTGTGGTCTTGCGCTTCACCTGCGGTGAAGCAGTGGGGTCTGCCTTCATCTCCACGAACGGCTGCTCAAGGCGGCGCGTTCGCCGATGATGATTTTTTTAGCGGGACCCATGTAGTGAACCTCGTTTGATGAAGTTGCTTGAATGATGAAGGTAGGGGATGCGGATGTGTGGAGAGATGAAGAAAGATGGCCGTATGCCCGTCTTTGTTTCTTTAAATATTGGTTTGTTGCCAGACATGGAACGACTAACAATCCTCTTGAATTGCATAGTGATATTCTTGCTAGAGGATTGTGCAGCAGCTTCAAATGCAGAGGTTTGCCTGATTTGGATTGCTTTCTGGTCGTGTACAACCTGCATCTAGGATGCCATATAGTAAAGTGTTTGCTCAAAAGTCTATAGAAACAAAAAGAAATGAATCGGAAGAACTAAAAGTTATCTATAACTCTAGAACCTAGATCTCTGTACTTTTCTCCTATACCATCACATTGTCTGTATCAAGATGAGCCTACTTGTTCTATATGCAATACTGTAATCATACAGCTTCAGGTTGATTCTCTTGATTCTCTCCAAAATCTAACAAAAAACAAAGCTGGGTATCTTTCGCTCCCAATGCCCAGAACGCCCCCCAATTTTTTAGAATTTTTTTTTAGTCTGAGGCTTTCCCCTTTTTGGGGGATTTGTTTTTCTTTTATAAATCATTGGACTCCCCCAATGCAAATTGGCGCTCTGACAATGTAAATGAAAAAAAGCAAAAAAAGATAGAAAAGAGAGACGATCTTCGGCTCATCTCACACGGTGATCGCGAAGTGATCAAAAAATGCACCTACTGGGCCGCAGTAGCAGAAATTCCAGATAAGCTTTAGGACTCACCACTTGCCTCTGTCAAATCAATGACATTGGTGCGGCCCCCGCCAACTGAGGATGAGGTGAGCCGAATCTGAGGCTCCGGCTGAGCGGGAAGCGAAGCCTTCTTCTGTTCATCCCGAGCGGTCCGCGCAACCGATTTGAGAATACCTTGAAGGTATTTCTTCGCCCCATAGATGAGGGATGGGGCCTCCGTGCTCTTCTCCAGTGCTTCCAGCATACGGGTGACCTGTACGCTTGACTGCAGGTGGGGGCAGGCACGGCGGCCTCCTAAGTGCGCCAGGCCACACAGGCCACAGAACTCGACGCCGGCGTGGCGGAGTGGGCAACACCCAGGGGTGTGCCATTTTTGGCATGCCGCACAAGGCGGGGAAGCAACTTGGATGTCGTGGGTCCCTACCACTAGGGGTGGAGATTCAACACGGCGGAACGCGCGGGCTGCCGTTTGAATCATGTATGTTAACCAAAATTTGTTTTATGCACGCAATAAGGAATGATAGGGTAGGCTTTAAACCAAAAAAAGAAAAGAAAAAAAGAGTAATAAAAACGCGCTTGGAGTTGGAATGAATTAGTCCTTACCTCGCTGTTCAGCATTCACATTAGGGCCGACAGCGGCATCCTCTACAGCTCCGCTTTGCTCAGCTCCAGGTTCAGTCTCCTCACCACCAACCCCAGTGCCCATTGGTTCAATTCCATCATATGCGGTGACCATTGGGTCACCTCCAAGGTCGGACCCAGTCTCCTCGCCGTCGTCTGGCTGCTGATATTCGTTATCTTCAGCAATGCCCTTTCGCATCTTGGTAGGCGGCTTCTGGGGACTGGGATTCTCGTCGTCGTCGTCAACTCCTTCGATGATGGTATTGTAGCGGGGCGCACCGCGCTTTCTCTTACCGCGCCCAAGACCCTCAGCTTGTCGGTTAGCCTCCTCGAGCGCTTCACGCTCACGCTCCTGCAGAATCTTCTCCCACGCTGTAATGTCCACAGGGGTGTCCTCAGTCTCAGTCACTTCTTCAAGGCTACCTTGATCCTTTTGCCACACTCGGGCGAAGTTAAACTGCGCCTGCTCATTCTGGTTCGAACTTCCCTCGTTGGCCACTTGCTCGGCTTGCTCAGCCTGGCTACGGTCCAACAGCTTGTCAATGGAGGGGTTATCATAGGTGATATCTGCCGAGTTATCATCATTGAAAAGAGCCTGGGCACCATGCTTGAGGATTGACTCCAGGTCTTCTTCATCTTCGTCGGCTTCGATGCGATCGATAAGTACGTGATCAAGGGCCATCTTGGTTTTACCTTTCTGCATAATTTTTTCTTCCACTGACGCGCGCACTACCAGGTGGAACACAAGAACCGTATTCTTCTGTCCGATTCGATGGGCACGGGACAAAGCCTGCATGTCTTGCTTGGGGTTGAAATCCGGATCCATGATGATCACTGTATCGGCAGTGGCAAGGTTGATTCCCACACCACCCGACCGCGTCGAAAGCAAGAAAGCAAAGAACGGGGAATCCGGATCGTTGAACTGGTCGATTTGTTGCTGTTTTTCTCTCGAGGACAAACGTCCATCCAGGCGGCGGTACTGGAGTCCCAGTCCAGTGAGGAAGTCTTCAACAATGTCAAGGTTCTCTAAGAATTGACTGAAGATGAGGACGCGGTGTCCACGCTCTCGAAGTCGAGGTAGCATTAAGTTTAGCAACTGAAGTTTCCCGGATGCTTCGACCAAGCGCCGATGGGAAAGTTGAGTATCCATGGTTTGCTCTTCGATGTCCCGGTTGTAAATAAACGGGTGACAAAGACACTTCCGCAGCTGAATGAGGATGTTGTTCAGATTGTGCCGCTCCGCTTTCTTCAACTGCCCGGTTTGCTTCTTGCAAATAGCCTTGATAAGCTGCGGGTTCCTTCGCAGAATTGATTTGTACAGTTTCTTCTGCACAACCGACATCGAAATCGGGATGATGATTTGCACCATCGGGGGGAGGAACGGCAAAACCTCTGCCTTTGTTCGACGCAGAAGGAATGGTCGAATCATGTCGTGGAGCTTGCGAATGTCTTCCTTGTCTAGGGTTCCTCCGTATTGGACCTCCAATTGCTCGGCATTGTAAGTTGGGTCGATGAACTGAACCAGATTGAACAACTCTCTGATATTGTTCTGAAGTGGTGTGCCAGTGAGCAGCAACTTGAAACCGAATTTCATGCGACGAAGGCGCTCATAGAGCTGGGTCTTGTCATTCTTGAGGCGCTGACCTTCATCAACCACCAAGCCGGCCCAATTAACACTGGAAAAAACTCGCTTAGTCCCATCGTCGGCCATGCTCTCGTACGAAGCAATGACCACATGACAACATAGAGTGCCATTCTCGTGGAACATCTCGTGTTCGCTGGTCATCTCGCGAGCGTGAGCACTGCCATAATATGTGACAACGCGAACGTCTGGCGACCAGCTCTTGATCTCTCGGCGCCAATTTGGCACAGTCGCATTTGGAACAACGACCAAGAATGGGAAACAGTCGAGCTGTTCGATCAATGCGGAGAACAGCGTCAAGACCTGGATTGTCTTTCCGAGGCCCATATCGTCAGCAAGAATAGCGTTCTTCCGCGTGAAGAACATGTAAAGCAGCCAGTTCACACCATCTAGCTGATACTCCATGAGCTGACCACCGGTCACCAGCGCAGGTTGAGCAGTCATCATAAGGCTCTGGTCAAACTCCTTTCTGCGGGCATCTTTGAGGCGGCTCTGAAGATCTTTCGGCCTCGGGGGGTGGATATTCTCTCGGAGCACCCTGTCCGTAAGAGCTGTTTGGAAGTCCTCCCAACGGGCTGTGTCGGTCTGACTTGGAGGTTCTTCCCAGACTGAGTCTTCGTAGGTCAACCCTTTGTACTTAACATATGCCCGCTTAACCATCTCGGCGTTTGCTCGATCCTCTTGGGATTCAGGCTCGATATGATATTCCACATCAAAGATAATGTCCACTCGCAGATTGTCTTCGGGGACAGCCTCGGCTGTTGTCATGATGGGTTTGGTTGATCGATCTGACTTGAGGAACGCATTCATCTGGCTGGGTGAGGACTTGGACCAGACCCAGTCTCCAGTCAACCAGGTGACACGGAAGTAGGACATCTTGTTCCACTTGATAAGATATTCTTTGTCGATCTCCGGGATCATTTCAACCAACCGCGGAACGACATTGACTTCGGGTTTCTTCGGTCTCCAAGCAACGATCACATGGATTGGATTGGCCCCTGGGGGAGATTCAGAACAGGCGTTGCATTGCCAGTTAGCGAGATCAATGTCAGCACGATCCTCCTCTGCCATAGTTGATAGATGCTGGAGATGGAAGGCTCGCTTGCAACTATGAGTGCCACCAAGGCATCTGATGAGGACATTGTCGACATTGTTGACACAAGACATATCCACGTGGGTAATCGGATCTATGCCATTATTGGCCTCCCGCAATTGCTGCTCAGCCTGGGAAGAAAGAGTCTGCCGCAAAGGCTGCGACATGGGTCCTCCGTCTCTACACACGGCACAGTGGCCCAAATGAGGCTTCATGTCATGTTCTTGGTGCTTGATCCCCAAGCAACGACTGCATTGAAGAATGAAATCACCATCGTCAACCTTGGTGACCAAGTGCTTTCGAGTGCTTCGATCGCCAAGACATCCTTGGTGGTATGACACAGTACAACCTTGACAGAAAACCAAGGCTCCCTTTTCGGAGTCATGATCTTCATAGCCGCATTGGGCACATAACTGGGAGTGGCACTGTCTGAACCCATTGTCGAGTGGTAGTTCACGGAACTGCTCCCGCGCACCTGAGAACTTTTGCTTAGGCTGCTCAACTTCGCGCTCGGAATATTCGTCATCTTCAAGGCGCTCTTTCATGTTGCGTCGACGACTTTGTCGCAGACGGGATGATGCTCGTTTGCCTGTATCGGAGGCGGAAGACTGTCCAGACCATTCGCGAGTGTGTTGCTTTCGGCCCTTTTGTACGCCTCTTCTCAGGTGGCGGCGTTTGGTTGGAGCATCATATTCATCATCGCTGGACTCCTCTGAGTCTTCAATCTCCACGCTGGTGCTATCTTCACGGCGGGTTTGGTAGTCGGCATCGTCATCTTCATCGCCACTGCGGAAGAAATGATCGTATGAGATTGCTGGGCCACGCCGTTGGCGCCTTCGTGCAAGTCCCCAGTCCATCTCTGAATCATGGTCTGTAGGACCATCTCCACCTGAGTAAATGAGGTGTGAAATAGGTTCCTGGTCCATTGCCAGGGGATCAGGACTCTGTGATTCACGGTTGAATTCACGCAAAGCCTCCGGTCCGTTCTTGAGACTTTTCAATTTCTTGATGGTCATCTAACGAAAGTCATTGTCAGTTGAATGAAGTTTGGGATTGATTGATTGTTTGTTTATTTTCACTTACAGTTTGACGTTCACCACTTTTGAGTCTCACAATGAGCTTTGGCTTATCCATATCGACTGCAAGAATGCGATGAACTTCGAAATGACCGGGCAAATACTTATAGTCTCCAGGGTTGTTAACCGCTGGGGCGATAATCTCAAAAGTCATTGTGGATTCTTTTGAGTTTCCAGTGGACTGTTGCACTGGCTGAAGGGCATTTTCGGAGCTCTTAGGAGTGAAGATGGGAGTCGTGTGAGAGGAAGCGCTTTGCAATTGCGCTAGCAATTGTGCCGCCATTGCGTCGGGGTCTTCAGGTGTTCGAGAATAGTCTCTAGATTGAGACATGGTGAATTCCTGATCAGATGAAGAATCGGGAAATGAAGATGAAGCGGTAGAAACCGCACATGTGGCTCCTACAAGTGAGGGTTGGGAGAATTCAGTGAACCGAAGCTAAGCAGTGAAATGGGTATTGAATCGATGATGGGAAAGTTCCTAATGGACAACCAAGCGAACTCTGAGCTGACTGGATTCTCAAAGGGAAGATGAGTTCGAATCAATGAAAGAGAGGAATGAAGGAATGAATGAATGAAGAGGATGGGAGAAGAAGGTCGAATTCGAAGAGACTCAAGTCGCATACACAGATCGCGACGCGTTGGTTTGGCATCCGATAACGATAAGCTTGGTTGCGGGTAGAGACCTATCGCGCAGTTCGATAACGAAGTTCTTCGATGTGGCGGAAGGAGAGGATCTACGAAGACCGGAACTTCGTCGCAATGCTCAGAACTATCTCAAGGACGGGATTGAATGGTCTTTCAAGAGTGATTAGTTCCTCAAATTCTACAGTCTTGGCTATTCGGCATGCATCATTGAATTCAGCAATTGGGGAGGGTATTCGCAGGTCTCAGTCTGTGGACAGAGATAATCGTCGCGGCAACGAGACTCGCTTTCCTAAGCGCCAGCGACAATACGAGAGATCAGGTGAATCCAATTTCAATGGTCGTCAAACAAACGGAGCGCAACAAAGATACGGAAGATCAGATCAATCCAACTTCAATGACCGTCGAACATATGGGGCACGACAGTATGGAGAAGAAAAGCCCGAGAGATCAGGATTCAACTCTGGCGTGCAACGAAATTACGGCCAGCGTGAACGAGAATTCGGGGCGAAAAAAGCCTGGACATCAGACGGTTTAGGTCGTAAAGACTATGACCGCCGACAATCGCCATGGAATGACAGGTCCGAATCCCCACGACAAAGCCGAAAGGAGGAAAAGTTCGAGTTCGACGAGGATGAGTTCATTCGTTCTGGTGATTTCCGAGGACTGCCTCGTGAGCATCAATCCCGGTTCCAATCTCGATTCCAATCGCGAACACGAGATGGCCCATTCACACAACCGGGAAGAGGACGGCCTCCAATGGATGAACCAAGAGAGAAGGAGCCAGCAAAGCCTAGGGCTCACCGGATCACGGAGAGAATTCCAGAACGGGTGAAGGACAACGTCAAAGTGCCGGACACAATCCCCTACACTACACCGGCATCTGAGTTCATTTACGGCACCAGCGCCGTGGAGGCGGCGTTGCGCTGCAGTCGGCGTCAACTCTACAAGCTTTATATCTACCAGAGCACGGAGGAAGAGCTAAGTGCGGCGAAGGTCACAATCCGCAAACTGGCACTGTCAAAGAACATTACAGTAAAAATGGCATTTGCAGGGTGGGATCGACTTATGGACAAGATGAGTGCTGGGCGACCTCACAATGGTATTATTTTGGAAGCATCACCTTTACCAAAATTGCCAGTGCGTGGTCTCCAGGCTGTTCCATCTATATCCGAAGAGTATTTCCGAACGGAGCTTGCGTCACAAACCCGGGAAGAAGCTGCGGTAAATGGCACCGATGATCGTATCCGCATCCATCATCCTTCCCCGCCCCCGCATGAAACTGAACAACGCCATCGATACCCAATTGTCTTGCTATTGGATGGAGTGGTCGATACCGGTAATATGGGCGCCATCATCCGCTCATCCTATTTCCTAGGTGTCGATGCAATTGTTCTAGCTGGTCGCAACTCCGCACCATTGTCTCCCATCACAATCAAATGCTCTGCTGGTGCAGCTGAGAATATGCCTATCCTTCACGTGAAGAATGAAGTTGATTTTATTCAGCGATCCCAGCAGAATGGGTGGCGGTTCTATGCTGCAGATGCCCCAACTCCCGGTTCCCTATATTTGGACCACATCTCGGCCAACGGCGATCAAAGCGGGGCTCAATTGCCCAGTACTACTGCGCCTAGTGTCATAATGATGGGCAGTGAGGCTACTGGATTGAGCTCGCATATCAAGTCGCATGCAGATGCAATCATCAGTATTCCAGGCGCCCGGCAGAGTTCCATCCTAGGCGTTCAATCTGATCCTGCGCGCATCGACAGTCTCAATGTGAGTGTCGCCGCGGCGCTGCTGATGGAGAAGTTCCTGCGAACACCCATGACTCTGGGTGATGTCCTCAAGAAGGAAAAGAACATGGAAAAGAACATAGGAAAGGAGAAAATGTGGTAATCTGTCTGTTAATAACTATGTATTCTAGCATATACACAGCATCTTTGTACAATAGCACATAACTGGAGTCTTTGATTTGCAGTTTTTTGTTCTCAACTTGTTCCGAATTGGGGTTAATCACACACCGCATTCTGAGGGCGGAATCTCCTCGATTTTGAGATTACCGAGGTTTGATGCATTTAATCAATCAAAATCAGGATCGAAAACCTAAAACCACGCCCATTAAAACAGAGCTTTTCGGTCGAGATCTACCGAAACTCGTCGCCGAAGTCAGGTCATGGAGATTTATGGTGAACAAACCGCGGGGTCTGGTGGGGGGGAAGAGACCCGGAGATCTCTTGGAGATCCGGATATCCTTAAGATCCGGATGCCCTTAAGAAGTCTGTTCCCTTCAACCCTAACTCTAAGGTGTCTTTATCTCTAGCTTGTGTACAGAGTACTCATTAGATATTTATCAACCCATAGGAAGATCCTTGCGTCATATTCATTGAACCCGCCCCGCCATGATTCCACAAAAACAGATCCCAACCACAGCCTTCGTGGTTGAGAAACCAGGAGCTCCTTTTATTCTTCAAGATGTTGTTCTTGATGAAGTTCGGGCCAATGAGGTTTTGGTTGAAATGAAATATACAGGCCTTTGCCACACAGTATGTAGTATCCATTTTACAATGAACGTCACCAAATGAGACTAACAAAATACCCTCAGGATATCGTCGTCCAACAGGGCGCAATTCCTATTGGTGATTATCCCGCCGTACTAGGTCATGAGGGTGCCGGGATCGTCCGCCGCGTCGGTAGTGGCGTGAAAGACAAGTCCCTCCAAGAAGGCGACCTTGTCTTCCTGAGCTTCAGCTCCTGCCTCAAAGACACATGCAGACCCTGTAGCAAAGGACAAAATGGATTCTGCGGTCAAGTGACACCTATTAACTTCGCCGGTGCTCGAGGTCTCAGCGCTGCCGAGTCCCCCATCTCTTTTCCAGGCGGAAAGGGCCCAATCCGTGGCCAGTTCTTCGGTCAGTCCTCTATGAGCAAGCTAGCTGTAGTTGACGAGCGGTCTGTCGTTAAGTCTCCTTCAGCGTCCGGACTTACGGTCGAAGACATGGCTGTCCTTGCTCCTCTTGGCTGTGGATATCTCACCGGTGCTGGCACCGTATTCAATATCCTTAAGCCCACACCGACAAGTCGCTTTGCTGTTCTTGGCATGGGCGCTGTTGGGGTGGCGGCTATGCTGGCTGCCCGGTCTCAGGGAGTACAAACCATTATCGCGGTTGATATTGTTGATAAGAAGCTCGAGATGGCGAAGTCTCTTGGTGCATCGCATACGTTGAACACGAGAGTATCGGATCTTGCGCAGGGGTTGTTGGATATATTCCCGGATGGCGTTGACTGTATTCTCGATACCACGGGTGTGGCTCCTCTGCTCGAGGCTGCCGTCAAAGCTTTGGGCCATGAAGGTACCCTAGCTATTGTTGGTGTGGCTCGTGCTGGCTCATCCCTCAATATCGATCCCTTGGAACTCATGATGGCTTGCAAGCGTGTCGTTGGTGTTATTGAGGGCTGTGCGAATCCCGCTGTGGTGAGTCTTTCTTTTTGATAATCGCTCGAGTCGTGACTAACCTTCCGTCGCTGTTCAGATTGTTCCACAACTGATTGATCTATACAAGCAAGGGAAATTCCCGGTTGATAAGCTTGCTAAAATCTATGCCCCGGGCGATTTAGAGCAAGCCATGGCAGATTTACACTCTGGAAGTGTAAGTGCTTCAATATCAATATTCCAAAGAGACAAGCTGACAGATATACCGTAGGTTATCAAGCCCGTCATCAAATGGGCAGACCTGTGATATTATAATTTGAGTATGCATATTGAGGCACTTTTCACTTGGTTGGGGGGATTGTTTTCTGTTAGTGGATTGTAGCAAGTTATTTTTCTGTTCATATAGCGGCAAGTGCATTCTGTAGTGGCTATATAGAGCAAGGTCCCCTGCACAGTCCATGCTTTTTGCTGCTTTTCAATGCATCTACGAATAAATCTAAAAGGACTAACAAGGTACCAAAAGACATGAAATGGTCGCATAAGCGGCCGATTATTCTTGTAAATGAATGTCTGGAATGTCTAAGCGTATATCACAAGCGTTACAACCCAATATTACACGATGCACATGCCTAGCTAGACTCAGAAGGCATAGAGAGATTTTGGTGAAGCTCCTTTCGCTGCACAGCGCCAAAGCGAAGATTACCAACATCGAAGACCTAACCACCAGATTAGCTTGTGTGACTGTGAACTTCCAAAGGGTGTTACTTACTGCATAGATGGCCTTCAGGAAGGTATCACCAAGAATATCCATGGTCATAGTACCACGACTTTGGATGCCTCCATAGACATAACCAGACTTGGCCTCGGCAAATCCTAGATCTTCTTTCTGCACAACAAATTGCTTATCACCAACAGCAAAGGAAATAACAGGTAATTTATCAGCCGATGTGTTGGATGGGAAGATCCATCCTTGGCTGTTATCGTCATACTCCGCCCCGGGGATAGCATCATAAATGGCCTGACAAGTTTCGTCATCCACAAGCGCCAAAGTAGTCCCTGTATCAGCAATAGCCTTGTTCCCAGCCCGAGAAATAGACTTTCCATTCACCGTCGCCGAGGCGGAATCAAACAGCCAAAATCCCTGACTGTTATCGACAGGTGTGTAGTAGATCTCTGCCTCAGTGGCCTTGACGGTGTCCTGGTCAATATAACCAAAGGTATAGAACGACTCGCCCTTATCCGGCTCATCAGAGTCTCGCCATGACCCCAGCTTCGCCGTGAAGAGTTCAGCCGACTTCGGGATGTCGGATTGCGAGATCATATTCTCCACAGGCGTGCTCACAGCCTCGGGCTTGACAGTATTGATATTACCGAATGCAAGTCCCAGTAGCCCATCCCCAGCACCTTGTGCAAATTGATCGGACAATATATCAGCGATCTCAACAGCCTGGCCTTTGACCACCAGTCCGCCGATGTTGACATTATCGTTGCCGACCGTGCCAGAGGCAGAAGAGCCATCACCGTACTTAATCTGCCACGTCGAGCCATCTTTCTCCTTGAACGTGCTTGATTTGGTCGGATCAAAGATTGTATGGTTCTTGTTGTCCGACAAAGTCTTAGATGGCAACTCCGTGGACCAGACCTAGACCTTCTTAGTCACTGGCGCATCACTCGGAGAAAAATAGAAAGAAATCTACTTGCCCACAGATCCGCAGACCCAGTATCAAAGTCCAGACTCAGTGTCTGCGCTGGTGTGCCAATACCAACTTCGGCAAGATACATCGAGTCATTCTGTATATCGTCGGCACCCACTTGACCAACCTGGTCGCTAACAGCGTCCTTCTTCTGTAGCACCTGCTGCAGCCGAGCACGGCCTCCGACGGGCTTATCAGTGTACTGTCGGCCAGTCTGTACCATTCTAGTGCCGAGGAAATACGGGCCACCCTTAGTTGGGGTGAAGCGATACTTGCGCATGGCGTACAAGTACGACTTTGTGCCGGACTTCTGGTAGCGCGGGTTTGCGATAAGGCTGATTCTAGTCGTCATGGTGGGGGATATGGATTGTTTAGATTTGAGGGGTTTGAGGATGGATGGCTAGGGCGTGGGGATTTCTTAAGTACTTATGCTGGAATAATATCATGCAATGAACTGGGGGGTTTGAAACGAGCGTCGTCATGGCGTTTAAATATTACGATGCCTGGCAAGCAGGCTAGTCATTTGTCAGTTTCACGGAGGCGAATTCCAAAAAACCTGTATTCCGTCATTGCAGATGACTTAGGGTTAGTGTTGTTTCAGCGTGATGGCGGCAGGTGGTCTGATCTGCATGGTCATCGGCACTGGGGAATAAATTGACCATCTACAGATTTACTAAATTATTATAGCATATAGCGTAACAAATAATTGAATAAGTACCTCTAGTCATATAGATATTCTGTATTAAAAAGGGGATCTACAGGAAACAACTGATTATCCTAGAAAGCCATCTGAAAGGCCATCCGCCATCTATGGTCGCTATGCACTGCGATACACGGTGGTACGGACTCCGGTCAGGCCGGGGGGATTTTCGTGAATGTGGGATTATACAGGGAATATACGATAAGCCTTTCGGAGTAAGACAAGTAACTCTATTTCAATTACAAAAGTACATTAAAAGATCATTTGCGCCGATCCCGATAAAACCGGCCCCAATACCCGAATCACCAATACCGACCTTAGCAAACTGGGAACGTACACACACCCCGTGGACCCTCAATCCACATGATTACCTCTTGCGACTCTTAGACTTGCTTGCAGCAGCACTGGGAGCCCGGGAACTTGCGGCAGAGGCAGTCTTGCTACCACCCTTGGTGGCCTTGACCTGTTTGGTCGGCTGCAAAACAAAAAAGTTAGGATCAAAGTGACAGATGATCGATTTAGACGAAACTTACAGCAGCTCCATTCTTAGCCTTCTTCTTGGCAGGGGGCGCTTCTTCCATCTCTTCCTCCTCGTCACGGTCACGACCGCGGCCTTTGCCCTCACTGGGCTCGAATTCCTTCGCCACGGTGTTGAGCAGAGTAGTGCAGCGGCGACCGATTTCCACGGGCGTGCGACTGAGCATGAAGAAATCGAATCGGAACAGAGGCGATTCACGAATCTCTTCACGGATGTTTTCATACAAATTTTCGCCTTCGACTCCATACTTGTCCAACATGATCAACAAGAATCGGTCCTCATCTTCGGTATAAACCTTTTTGTTGGTGGTGGACACGGTGTAGTTGATCTTGAGCTGCTGAAGCGGCACACGGTACATCTCCAACTTCTTGCGGAGCATCTTCCGCTGGTGATCTATCTTTCGCACCTTCTCCTCACCCTGATCGATGACTCGGAGGTACTTAGGATAGTCCTGAATCTCGGTATATCGGCGCCAGAAGACTTCGGCATATTCCTTAATCTCATTGGGCTCCTTGCTGTCCACCTCGGTAGCAATACCCTTGTAGTCGGTGCGACCGAACTTGGCAGATCCGTTGATAAATTGCTGGAAGTCACGTCGGTTCCAGGTAGCAAACCCTTCTTCTGACATACGAGCTTTCTCGGCTTGCTCCTCCTCAGTAAGAGGCACAGAGTTGTCAATCTCCTGTTGTTCAAGGTCACGCTCAGCCTCTCGCTCACTGAGCTCCTCTTCGGGACCTTCAGGCAATTGAGCCTTGTAACCAATTTCCTTGTGGAAGTAGGCAGTCTCCTTCTCTTGGAGCTCGTGAAGACCAGGAGGGAAGAATTGCCAGTCATGGACAGTGATTTGTTTAGGAGCACGTGGGACCTTGGGCTTTGTATCGGCGGTTCGGCCTCCAGTGGCCAACGCTTGGCGGTAGTATTTGTCGATGGAATAAAATTGCTCTTTGCGCTCACGCTTGGCTGGGTTGATCCAACTGATGCCAATATCCTTCTTCCGCTCAGTGAAATCTTTGCCGTTCCATTCATACGCACTCTCAGAGGAGAACTTCTGCAAGTCATCAATGCCGAGGGTCTCGTACTTCTTGCTGAGCTCTGCAGTTCGTTCTTCGCCTTTACGCAGGATAGTCTCGATATCTTCATCTTCGGCTACATCGTGTCCATCCCCACCCTTGGTGTTGAAGACGTCGGCAGCACCGTGCTGAATCATACCAAGGAGGTCCTCTTTTGAAGATGCTTTGCTGGCCTGTTGTCCAGCACGACCTTGTTGAATGACAAGCTGATCCAGACGCAGTTTCTGAGCTGCTCGCTCCAGAACCTTCTCTTCAATGGCGTTCTCTGTGATGAATCGGAAAACTTTAACCTGCTTAGTTTGACCAATGCGGTGAGCTCGGTCCATGGCTTGCAAATCAGCTTGCGGGTTCCAGTCACTGTCGAAGAGGACGACGATATCAGCTGAGGTCAAGTTGATACCCAGACCACCAGCTCTGGTGGTGAGAAGGAAAACGAATTTGTCGGATCCGGGTTTGTTGTAGTCATCAATGGCAGCAATGCGGTCCTCGTGCGCCGTGGTACCATCGATACGGCAGTAGTTGTAGTCTCGGAAACAACAGTAATCTTCCAAGATATCCAGTACACGACTCATCTGAGAGAAGATGAGCACACGACTACCATCCGCTTGCATGCGCTTCAGAAGTTTGTCCAGAATGGCCATCTTTCCAGAATTGAAAACAAGATGTTCGTCGGTGGTATACGGAGGGCCTGGTTCAGCTCCCTCGAACAGGTAGGGATGATTGCAACACTTCCGCAGCTGCATAACAATGTTCAACAGGCGGGTCTTGGACTCGCGCTTCCCAGCGGCGCCATTGACGGCGTCAATATCTTTCTCCAGAATTTTCTGGTACCACCTCCGTTGCATTTCAGACATTGGGACATAGAGGTTTAGTTCCTTCTTCGGTAGCAAACTCTTCTCGACGTCACTCTTCACACGCCGAAGCAAGAAAGGGCGGAGAACACGATGGAGTTGCTGTACCACGGTGTCTTGGTCGGACTCCTGGTTTGAGAACCACTGGTCAAATGCCTCGGAATCGCCGAAGACATCTGGGAGAAGGAAGTTGAGCAAGGCCCACAGTTCATGCAGATTGTTTTGTAGCGGAGTACCGGTAATTAGCAACCGATTGCGGGAGTTGAAAAGACGGATGATCTGGGACAACGATGATTCTTCGTTTTTGATCCGATGGGCCTCGTCGATGATAATGTATTCCCAGGCAAACTTCTTCAGGTGCGACTTCTCGCGGAGGATCATTTCATAACTGGTGATACAAACATCGAACTCCTCCTCGACTAAGCGCTCATTGATCAACTGTTGTCGTTCTTCTTTGTTACCTTGGAGTACCAGGACATCGATATCGGGGGTCCACTTTGCGAACTCTCGCTTCCAGTTGTCCAGGGTTGACTTCGGTACGACGACCAAATGAGGCCCGTTAATATCACGAATGTAACGTAGATATCCCAGGAACGAAATCGTCTGTAGGGTCTTGCCGAGACCCATCTCATCGGCCAGGATACCGGAGATACCGTTCTCGTGTAGCGAAACGAGCCAGTTCAAGCCTGCGACCTGGTAATCACGTAGCTCACCGTGGATAAATGCTGGTGACTCTCGGAATACGGTGGTGCTATCGCCGCCCTGCTTCTCATCCTGTAGCAGCTCGGCGTCTTCTTCTTGTTCGGTCCTGCGGCGCCGCTCACTACCAGCACCCCCAGTGCGCTTAGAGCCCTTGCGGGCCTTTTCCTCTGTCTCCGCATTTTGTCGGTCGATTTCTGCCATAATCCCTTTGATTTCAGGGTTTGGATTCGTCTCGATGAAGTGGCGAAAGAGGTCAGTGAGACCGAGAAGGTATCGGAATCGGCGAATCGAATCATCCTCCTGTAAAACATCATGTATCAGCAAAAAATGGTTGTCAGTAATCTTATATTATGACCCATACCTTCGTATTATCGAGGCGGCCATGCTTCTTGCCTAGGATGCTTTTTCTGAGGTGGTTGGCCTCAGATCTGCGCCTACGTCCATCGGCCGCGGCGTCGCCCGCAACGCTGCTTGCAGTGGTGTTGGGATTTGTGTCAGAGTCCTATTCAAACAATTAGCAACTTTCCCTTTCTAACAGCGTTGTAGACCAAAGGTATCGTTACCGTGTAATCTGGGGTGTTTTGGCGGCTCTAGAGTACAAAAGAAAATTAGCATGGGCTTGGGGAATTTGGAACAAAAAAGCAAATATATATATGGGCAATCATGCAGCACTCTGTTCTAGACAAGCGAGTAGGAACAATGTCACATACAGTCATTTGCGCGTCGGCACTATCCACGGGCACCGAAGGGACCGTGTCGTCATTTGTATCAGTCATGGGAGTATCAGGCTGCGAGTCTGGATCAGACGCGAGGACAGGAGCCATGTTTTATCTTTGGTAAACAGAGTGGAGGTGCGTTCGCTGTTTAAACACGTCTTTGAGCGTGCAACAAAGAATATCGGAAGCTCGCGACTAGTCGGATCGCGTAGTGCAGGAAGAAAGAACCAACGGCCGGTCGGAGTGGTGAAGAAGTGAGGGAAATTGTTTGAATATAGTCCAGGATGGATTCAAAGGTTGGAGCGACTCATCAATGGTGATCCCATAGATTGAATGCTACTGAACAATTCCAGACCAGGATTATTGAAGGTATCCAAAGCGCGTCCATGGCAAATGAAGATACCGCCTTTCGGTAGGGCCTACGGTATGGAATATTGTTATTCCGTCGGAAAGTGGGCTTTCTCGTTACCGGGCCAGGGCGGTCATCTGCAACAACCTTGAAAACGAAAGTTCCTCCGTTGACACATCTGAGTGCTGCTTATTGTTGCACAGCTGGGTGAACAACTACCCTTGACATATCTGATTTTAGCTCTATTGGCTCTTGCCTTCTATCTTCTCACAGTCCCTCTCATTTCCACTTCTCTCTTTCACCACTTCCAAGCTCTTCGCTATCGCCATTTGTCCACTGAGGAACGACGCACGGCATAAGAAGTTGCCAATACAAACACTTTCGTCTCCATAACCACTGCTCAACAGGGCCTTGATATTCTTCCCTGCCATGGACTCCATGAGGTCCCTCAATACCTCTCTTCCGAGCTCGACACCCCGCCCGCAACCTCCGGAGCAACTCCTCCAGCAATTCAAGGCGGCAGCTCTGTCCGTCACAAACCTGTACAAGAATGCAGTATGTGAACAAGCCCAGGCAAGGTCGGCAGGATACCAGGACGCGATAGAGGATCTGCTCCACTTCCTTGACCGTGAGAACCTCGGTCTCGGAGACGGAGAGGGGTGGAAGGTTCGACAATGGGCAACCGAAAAATGTGACGGAACTGGATCACAAAGCAGCGATGAAGACGCAGAGGCCGACAAGCGTGACCGAAGTGCTACTCCGGCTACTGTCCGCAAAGAAAAACCTACACCCGAAACAATTGCTCGTCAGCCCCCCACTTCAGCGCCCGCACCCACATCCAAGCCAGAGTCGACCACTCCTCCTCCTCCCTCACAGCTCCACGAAACACCTTCGCTCGCCACACCTGCCATCTTCACCTTCTCCGCTGGTCCTACATACCCTCAGTGTCAAGAGCTCGACATGGATGTGCAGTCGTCGGACAACTCATCTGCGACTATGCAGGACGGCGCTCCTGTGAGTGTCTCAGTGATGCCTCGCAACAGTCGACCACACCATCGTCACAACAACCACCCACGATCAAATGCGCGCCCTTCGCCACGGGAGTCACCCGCTAGTCTTGGGTCCAAGAGGAAATTCACTTTCCCAGATTTCTTCGATCTGTCAGGACTTAACAACGGACGGGATGCATCAGGAGGTGGGAAACGAGGCCGCTTTACCTAGGTCTTGACCCGGATAAAGTATTATATGATGACGAAGTGACGACCATTCCCTTCTGATTGTCACACAGTGGCTGGTTGAGATTTCGGGTATGAAGGTGCTTTTCGGGTGCATAACAAGGAAGGGACATTTTGCATATGGTTTTTTTTTTTTTTTTTGTTCTTCTCTTCCTTGGGTTTCTTTGTTGTCTTCATTGTCTCTTTTTCTTATTATTATTTTTCCCTTCCCCTTGTGACATAGCATATAGACGGATATGCCTGGTGGTGATACCCGATACCCGGAGTGGCAATTATCATTGGCTTGCAACTAAATAACAATCAATATCTTACAAAGCTTCCAACCTGCGCTTCACTATCAAACATCTAGCCTGCTCGGTCCCGGCCTTCATCACATCCCATATGCTTTAGTATGGGTTTAAGGTACAATACTCAATTAAACGCCCGCCACAACCCCATTCCCACTAATGTTGCAGAGATCGAGGCAATCCCCAACTTGCGCGAGCCCATCTTGTATTTTGTGGGGCCTTGCATGATGGCCTTCTCTTGTTTCCGAAGATTGGCCATTCCAGTGTAGTAGCTGTAGACTCCAAGGCCCATAAAAGCAGCAGATCCTGGTACAGGATGTCAGTACAAAACGCCGGTATTATCAGCCCGGATCACGGGCTAAACATAACACATACCAGTCACTCTGCAGGACAAACAGTCGTCGTACTTGTCCTCGGCCAGAGCCTGCTTGGCGTCTTTCGGCTGGGTATCCATGGTGTGCTTATCAGAGGTGAAGAGTGTGTAGAGTGAATTAAACATTTGGAGTAAGAACAAGAACCAAACGCGCACTGTATCACCAGAGCCCGCTTACTATGAGTTGATGTCTGTTGTCTCCAAAAAGTTATCGGAAGGCGGGAATCGGCGGCAAAACACGGGAGCTATGCAATCTACGCGGACACAAGTAATCTCATCATCAGACAACAGTCATCATGAGCGGCGAGATTGATGCCGTTTACATATATGACCAGCAAAAGTGGGATATTCTACACCGGTTTACAAGACCATACTAACCCGTCCTCCCCAGTGCCCCCCTCGTCGAACATGTATATCGATCCCGCCCGCCCTCGGCCTCCGCCATCCTGCCCCTCTACCTTGCCTATGCCGAACCGCGCCCTTCCTTGCTGTACATTCCTAGCGCTTCACCGCCGGTGACGGTATTTTCGACAGTGGAGTCGAATCTGTTGTTTCTTGCAATAAGCGAAGTCGACACGGAGCCGCTTCTAGCATTGGAGTTCCTACATCGCGTGATCGATGTACTTGAGGACTTTGTTGGAGCGCCGCTGCTCGCAACTAAGATCCAGGCCAATTACGATGTTGTTGCGCAGCTTCTTAATGAAATGTGTGATGGAGGGACAGTATGCAATACCGAACCCAATGCATTGCAAGAAGTTGTTGAGGTTCCCGGGTGGATGGGGAAGCTGCTAGGTGGAATCGGAGTACCTGGGTGAGCAGCTCTTGACTTGACAGACGATATTATTTGGCATTAATATGTTCGCGTGGGGTTTAGTACATCTACGCCAACGCTAGGATCTACTAATCCTCTCAAGCAATCCCTCGCCGCCGCCAGTGCATCACAAGGACCCGCCATTCCTTGGCGACGGCCCGGTGTACGGCATACCTCTAATGAGCTATATGTCGACATCATTGAATCTCTTTCTGTTACTATGGCTCCTTCGGGACGACTGCTGTCTGCATTGGTATCCGGCACCATTGCATTTACTGCGAAGATATCGGGAGTCCCGGACCTACTGCTATCGTTATCAGCGCCGGGTGGTCAGCATGTCCTTGGTCGCAAGATTGAACTACCGGTTTTCCATCCATGTGTTCGGCTAGCTCGGTGGAAGGAACGGCCGGGGGAGCTCAGCTTTATACCTCCCGATGGACGGTTTATTTTGGCTGGATATGAAGTGGATCTTCTTCCCATAGATCCTGACCAGGAGGAGCCACCAAGCCATATGGAAAAGCTATTCCTACCTGCTATTGTCGATATTCGCAAATCACTCGGCTCATCTGGTTCCGAGTTTGAGGTTCGACTGACTTTGAACACAAATTTCCCGGGCCAAAGCTCATCTTCGCGGCCTGGAGTTCCCCGAAGCGGATCCGGCACATCAACGCCGTCATTCCTAGGTGGTGGCGGAAGTGGAAGCTCCGGACCAGCACTTGAGGAGGTTGTTGTTAGCGTTCCGATCTCAAAGTCAGTCCGCCATATCACGGACATGCAGGCCAGCCGTGGTGACGCTCAATTCACCCCCTCGAGCGGACTTCTCGAGTGGCGGATTCCCACTGGCAAGGATGCCGGATCATTGACTGGAACAGCCACACTGCGTTGCAGTGTCTCAGGCTATCCATCCGGCGATGATGACTTTGATGACAGCGTCGAGGATGCCGACGAAGACGCCAATGCCAACCTCCTACAAGGCTACTACGAGGCGCCCACCTCTTACAACGACAAATCCGCCAGTACATCCAAGAAAACCAGATCCTCCGACCCATCCAAGCGCAAAAAGAAAAAGAAGAAGTCAACGAAGAAGTCCTCCCGCTCCGCCGCTTTACACCCAGAAGACGTGGAAGAAGATTCCGTTGCAGCTACCAGCCCATCCCCAAATCCCTCCGTACCTCACACCCCCACACCCCCTCTCCAATCACAATCCCAGTATAACGCCCACCTCCCCGCATTCTTCGCCCCATCATCTACATCGCGTCCCACGCGCAGAACCAAAGCCCAGGTCAATGCAAGCCTGATGCCCAACTCAGCGTCGGTGTCCTTCTCCGTGCGGGGCTGGCTTCCGTCTGGTATCAAAGTGGACAGTCTCAACATCGACCAGCGTCGCAGTCGCGGCTTAGGCGAGGGTGTCAAGCCATACAAGGGTGTCAAGTACCTGTGTGTGAGTAATCGCGGCGTGGAACGTCGCTGCTAAAGCCCAATGTACTTGACTTAGTTTCCTTTTTTTCGGTCAGATGAGCCGAGGCATTTGTCTGGTTTAGATAGCGCATTCGATAATCACTGCATTTGACAGCATGAATCATGACATGAATGTTGGATCTGTCTATGAATTTTCAATCAGGGGTTCGTTTACCTTGATGTAATGCCGCAGGCTAGAGGGTTTTGTACAAAAAAACTACATACCTTCCCTTGTATTGTGGGAGCTCTAAGACTCCAATACCATGCCATGATATCTAGATAAACTACTCACCCGCCTACCTAAGGTGACAAAAACACTTGAATGAATTCCAAAAAATACATGGCTCATAAATACAAAACAAAACCATCACCTTAGATAAGAGCAATCAAATCCAAAAAGTACTAGTACTTACCTAGGTGGCAAATTATTTTACTATAGAAAGATCCCGAAGTCATCTGCACATGCTAATCCAAGCCGAAACCCAACTTCTCTTCCAAGACAAGGGGTGATCAGCACCAAAGCAGATCCTAAGCGGGGTATCCAAATTCAGGGGCGAGTGTTCACGTTCATAATTTCGAAGATCGGCGTTCGAGGACCTGTAGGACGACGTAGGCAACTATTATGGGTTAGACTGTGATTTCCAAAAAAGCTTTGATAGGTATGATCTGCAGATTGAATGATTGGAACAGATGTGAAGGCGCATTAGAATGTAAAAGGGGCGACAAAGAAGGAAAAGAGAATGATTCATTAAGATTCACGGATTATGAGCTTAACTTCTTGTTCTCGATTCCAGGGTATGATGACAAGGTGAAAAGGAAATGGTAAAGATAGACATCCTCGGAGGGGAAACAGAATTGAACCAGAACATGAGGTTAGGGGTATATAGAATAGGCAGGGATTATGCGTCTTCATCTGAAGCATATAAGCAGCCACAGACAGGGGTTGGTGCAGGGATCTCAGAGCTTAGTTCTCCTCTTCATCTGAAAGAGAGAAGTCTCCAAGACCAAACTAAACCCACCCAAACAGATTTTTGCAAGATGTAGAAAATATTCACAGAAATGACGGGGGAAACGTGAAGGAAATTAGAGATGATCACTTACTGGCAGCAATAGCAGCAGCTCTGCCAGCTCCAGCCTTCGCACTACCTCCACCCAAAGTGAAGATGTAGCGCAGCCAGCCGAGACTCAGCTTGTTGCCGTTGCGGTCAAAGTCGGGGTGCAGAGCGCTAGCAGCATTGAATTTGCTGATCTTTCCGGCGTACGGTGGGTACCGGATAGCCAGGAGGGACTCCAGCCAGCTTGGGGTGGAAGTGATGGTGCGGCGGTGCACCCAGACGTCAAAGCTGGAGCGGCCGCGGTAAGCACCGTAGCCACTCTCGCCGACACCGCCGAAGGGCAGGGTTGGGATATGCAGCGCGGCGTCGTTGCAGGAAACGCCGCCGGAGCGGGTGGAAGATACAACTAAGAGAGGGGATTAGAATAGCTATCTTTGCGGGGTATCAGATGCAAAACAGGAAAGAGAGAAACTTACTCTTGTTAACGTCAGCCTTGTTACCGAAGGGGTAGAGACCCAGCGGCGTGCTCTGGACACCATTGGCCAGGCTGATGGCCTCGTCGAGGTTCTCCACAGGCAAGATGGGGATGAAGGGACCGAAGCTCTCCTGCGAGCACAGGGAGTCATCAACCGAGTCAACCTGGACAACGGTAGGCTCGATGAACAGCTCCTTCTCATCCATAGTGCCACCCATAAGGATCTGGCCCTTAGTATTATCAAGCATGGACTTGAGACGAGCGAAGGCGGTCTCATTGACGATGCGCGCGTAATCAGGCGAGCCCTTAGCACCCTGGGGGTAGAACTCCTTGTACGCATTCTTGAATTCCTGTACGACCTCCGGAACGAGCGACTTGTCGACCAGCAGGTAGTTCTGGGAGGTGCAGAGCTGGCCGGCGTTCAGGAGCTTGCCCCAGAGCATGCGGCGGGCGACGAGACGCGGGTCCGCACTCTTGGACACGATGGCTGGGTTCATACCGCCAAGCTCGAGCACAACGGGGGTCAGATTCTGTGCAGCGGCCTTGGCGATGATGCGCCCGACGGTGGCACCGCCTGTGAAGAAGATCTTGTCCCACCGTTCGGCGAGCAGGGCCTGTGTCTCGGGGATACCGCCCTGGATGATTTTGTAGCACGAGGGGTCGAGACTGGCCTCGATGATCTTTTGCATGACGGCGGCGCTACGGGGGGCATTTTCGCTAGGCTTGATCACCACTGTGTTTCCGGCGGCGATGGCACCGATGGCGGGGCCGAGAGTTAACTGGAAGGGGAAGTTGAAGGCACTAGGGTGGTAAGGAGCTTGTTAGTCGGGGTATTTCTCATGCGCGTCGTGAGGGAAGGGGGAGATGTACCCAATGACCAGCACAGTACCCAGAGGATCCTTTCTGATCTTAGGGGTCATGAACTTGAAGGCGAGATCAATATCCGAGGCCTTCTCATCCTTGGCCCATTTGTGCAGGTTGCGCGTCGTGAAGACAATGTCGTTCAGGAGCCATCCACTCTCTCCGAGGTTGGTCTCGAACCGAGGCTTGTTCAGGTCCTGGGCGCAGGCCTCCATAATATCCTCCTCATTATCTTTGATACTGGAAAAGTGTTAATGAATTGACCGGAAAGAAAGAAGAACTCAGTACTCACGCCCAGTACAGCTTGCGCAGCTGGACGAGGCGGAACTCCAAGTCGCGGGTCTTGTGCTCATTAAACGCCTTGCGGACCGTGGAGATACGTGCGGGAATCTCCTCAAGCGAAGTCGCTCTAAACTCGGGTAGTGCAACCATGATGAAGGGAAATTAAGATAAATTAAGATAAAAGGTCAAAAAGTGGGAAAGGGAGGAAAGTGACAGGTTGCCTGCGGGTATATAAGTTGGATGTGGACAGTCCCCGCTCCATAACGGCCTAGGGATCTCCATACACCATTGAACAATTACTTAGGCAAATTCTAACTTTCTTCATATCAGCCCCTATTTGTTTTTTGAGGCCCACATGCTCCGAGCTCTCGGCTTATTCTAGTTTAGGTCTTTGCGCCGGTGATAAATATATATATATATATATATATGTATTTTTTTTTTCTCTCTATGTTTAAGGATTAAATTCAAGTCTTAACCTCTATGTAGTGTTACCTCTGAAGGTGTGCCAAAGGTAATATATCCAACCGCGGCTTCACACGAACTACCCCGCTCATGATCGGCGCATCCCTTGGAAGTTCTAGACAAATAAAATAAAAGTGGAGACAATCCTATTAGCTCGGCTTCTATATATGGGCTGTTATATATTCATATAGTTGAATAGCTAGGTAACCCTACCTACCTACATAAGACTTTCGCAAAAGAAAAAATCGTTGAATTGGGGTATCATAAAGAGCGTGGATAACTTGTAATCTACTGAGAATTAATACAGTACTGTACGGTTGATTGTTCCGTTTTACCATCGTAAGGCTTGCCTCATGCGCCGAGTTTCACGATCAAAGCAACTAGAGCGCTTGTTAGGAGTCTTTCCCCATGACTGGGTCGCTTGCTTGCGTTTTTGATTTGGCGACATCGATTCCAGTGGAGCTCGTCTGTCTTGGAACTGCGCCCGCTCAAAGTCAATGTACATTACCCGACCACTGTCCTCATTCCAGACCGTGTTCCCGGGGATTGGGTCATTATGGAGCACGCCTAGTCCGTGAATAGCATGTAGCGAGATCTCGGCTTGTTGAATTAGCCAATTTTGATCGATTCCGTGTCGCTTAGCCAGCGTACCGCCCGCATAGCCCATCAACATCAAATGCACAATCTCCGCGATGCCGTCGTAAGAGAATGGTTGACGGAGAGCTAGGCCACCTAGTAGAACTGGCACGTGCACCCCCTGTATTGGACGAAGACGCGAATACACGCACTCCTCATGTTGGGCGTGTTCGACGAACTCGATAGGCGCACCTTTGCCAACGAAAGTATACCCATGAGACAACAAGGTCACTTTAAAAAGGGCTCCGCGTGTGCCATGAATATGCAAGGACTCACATCCTATATCCAAATCAGGCCGCGGGTCATGTCGGGAAAGTTGCCGATCCAAGAGACGAATGAGTGTCGCCTGACTGATTGTATGTCGACCAACTCCATGATCCAGCACATTGGGACATTTTTGATCCAATGTTTCTCTTGTGACCAAGCCTAAGAGGCACCGTTGTGTACAATACTGGCGAGACTTGCCCTTTGAGTAAGATCCATCTCGTGGCATTGTTGCGGCTGATGATGGCGACAAGGCTGAAGAATCGGCGAAGCGAGAAGCCTGGGGCTGTCGACTCGGGGTGTTTGGGTCAGATCCGTCGGGGGAATCATCAGACTCGGATGAGCTCCGAGCTTCCAACGGAGTGCAGGACGAGAAACCTGCAATAGTAGACTTTGATCGTGTCTTGACAGGAGACACACGACAGTATTTGCTTCTGCTCTGTGGGGATTTGAATACTGAAGAGGGCACATCCAGCACCGATATTTCAGCCCAAAGGTCGTCATATACCATTTCCCATCTGTCCAGTTTGTTCGCTGCCCAGTTTTGCCACTGGATACCCCGTTGCGGTGTTTGCAAAGCACGGAGGGTAAAGGCCAACACCTGGCCGAGTGCTGTCAAGTGTAATCTGTTATCGTCACTTGGGTTACCGGTCCATCCAGTTGTATCACCAACGTCTTCTCTCGGCACTGATAGATAATAGTATACAGTGGAAGGATCGTCGTGTGGAACACGAATAAATATAAATGCTTCGCCAGTACACACATATCCATACTCCATCCCGCCATTGATCATGTAGGAAAATGCCTGTGTGATGACTGCAGCCACAACGCGTTGGCAAGTTTCTTCTGGCTTCTCAGCTTCCTGATAACGGACCACCTGGTCCAACTCCATTTCCCGAAGCCCCGCTTTTATATGAGCGAGCGTGAGCTTATGTGGCGCTTTGTATTCGACAATGAAGGCCGGAACCTTTTCCTCGGGGCCTTTGTTGTACACACAAAACTGGTCCGCTCGGGGTCGAGAAGGCTTTTGCGGCGCAAGCCCTTGGTGTTTCACAACTGGCTGAGCCGGGAGCGGTAGTCGAGACTTATGGGACTGCTTCGCGGTCAATCGCCCTGAGCGACGCGGTTGTTCCTGCGCCAAGCTTAGGGATCCCATATCGGCAACTATGTTTGATTTGTCCGTCAATGTGTTCGCATGGTTTTCGAAGGCCACATTTCCATTAAGGCGAAAGACTTGTCGGAGTTGAGGGCTTGCATAGAGTTGCTCGATGACCTCGGCGACACGCGACTCGATCGTTAACCGTTCAAAATAGCCGAGATCGAGCTCTGAACTCAACATTCTTTGTCGTATGTCTTTCCCGTATTGCTCGAGCACAAGCAACGGTAAAAAGTGGCGCTGGGTGACAAAGTCGATGCCCATGAGATCTGCCTATACGGCTGTCTGCTCCTGTGGGAACCCCATCCACTCCCGGATCTTGGCTGGGCGAAGCTTATTGTCTGCATTTGCCGGATCGCCTTTAGTTGACGAGTCTGGGTTTGTTTGTATACCCAGGCCAAGAAATAAGTGAGCATGGCAAGCGTCGAGGAACTCTGGAAGGGTGGTTTCTCGATTTCGCGTTGTTTAGCCTCGTTTTCGCGTTGTTCGGCTTCTGCAAGACGTCGCCGCAATTCAGGTATATCATGCTCCATTCTTGACTTATTCAAGGTCAAGATGAGATACAGTGTAAAGCAACCCGTTAATGGGGTGATTTGTGTTGGTCGCCCTTTCTAGGAGCCGCAAGCAAGCTGGAAAACACTAGCCCCGCTTTCCCTAGCCAATCAAATCCCGCAAACTTGCATAGTAAGTCTTGGGTTTGAAATGCTCTTGTGGACGTAAAGACTAGAATCGATATCGAGATGACATTTGGGATGATTTTGGGTATGTATTTTGGGACAACTTTTGGGGTGGTTTTTTTCCTGTGTCAATATTATAGCCAGAAATATGTAGCCTATACCAATGAAATGTGACAGAAAGCTGGCGTACGAACAATGTATGGTATAGATGACCAATGTTGAAGACTCTAACGTATTTCACTACCGAGCTGCGCACCCCAGAACACATAACGTATTTCACATACGAGCCGGCCACACAAGCGAGCCGACCACCCCAAAACACCATAGTAAATGCGATATATTGCAACTTGATATCTCAACAATAGTGGCCTATATAGAGATTTCCTTATAGCCTAATATTTTTTAGGTAGTTTCTAGCCTCTCTAGGGAGTTTAGGAAATATATATGACTTTGTGATTGCGATATATACATATATTTCTACTTTTTAGTAACGTAATTTTTGGTAATTTTTGAAATAATGATAATATAGCCTCTTAATTTCTTTAAGATTGATATATACTACTAATATATCTTATCAATAACTATCGACAAATAAGGAGATAAAATGAAAAGTTGGTTGTTGAGATATAAATGTAGAATATATCGCATTTAATGGTGTTTTGGGGTGGCCGGCTCGCTTGTGTGGCCGGCTCGTATGTGAAATACGTTACTGGAATAACGTAAATATGCTAGTCACGTGATATGTAGATATATTGATAGGGTTACAGTGTCATCCTGCTGGTTAGCTGGACATCGTATGCATTTACACATTCTCACAGTGGTCAATGTCTTTTGTATATAGCTACCGTGCGACTTGAATATGATTTGTTGAGACAGATTTCTTGATTCCCTGTTCGCCTGGCTTCCATTGGCTATTTAGCTAGCTTGAGTATGTTTATAGAAAAATAACAAATCATGAATTCTCTTACAAGGATCCAAGTTCTCTCCTGTTTTGTCATTATTTTATTGATGTACAACCTTGGAAGACAGTCTTTGAACTCGACAATCCACCTGGTAGATGGCTGCTTAGGTATAAAATGACACAGCAGATTCACTTCAGAACAAAGGATAGGCTGGTAGCGTTGCTTGCATTCTCTATCGTCACTATGGTCAATATATCTGATAGATGCATCATCTATTCTAACGTGTTGTAATTTTAACGAGACCGTATAATGCTCCACACCCCCTCCCGAACGGAGTGCCCGAGAGTCCATTTCTTGGGCTTATGTTCTTTTCCGCCCAACTCTCAGGTCCTCTTACGGATTGCGAACATAGCATCATACAAAGCTTTTCTACAGGTCCCCATCTATAAATGCACCAGAATATTTCTGAAATAATCACATTCATTCAAGCCAAGAATCAAATATGCTGTGGTTTCTAAAATGCAAAATAAATCGGCCCACCATCCAATAAGAGAGCAGGACCGACAGGGAATCAAATCAAGATCGTAGAGGAAAAAAAAGGAAAACGCCACAATCAACACAAGACATCATAAGACATCAAGCACATATATAAAGATAGACAGCCAAGACCATCAGGGTATCAACATGAGCCGGCACGAAAAATCAGTTCTTGAACTGATCCTCGGTCACACCCTTACCCATAGCAGCAGTACTACTAACACCACCCGAAACCATCTTCAGCAGATTATCAACGTAGTTAGCACCACTCCATTTCTGGTGGGTGACGACGTCAACGCCCTGTTCCATCTCCGGCTCCTGGACCAGCTCGCCGTAGGCGCGCATGCCGTTCTGCGAGAACGCCTTCGCGAACTGGTGCGAGATAAGCGCGGTAGTGTGCAATCCAGCCAGAGTGATGAACTGCCACGAGTAGCCGAGCTCGCCGAGACGCTTGATGTATGTCTCCTGCTCGTCGCGAGGCATGGCCTTCTTCCAGTTGAAGGAGGGAGAGAGGTTGTAGGCGAGTCTAGTGGGGTTTGTTAGTAAGGGTTCTAGTGTACGGGAGAAACTCAGGGTGGAAAATCTTACTTTTGCTCGGGCCACACGGCGTGAACACCGTCGGCGAATTCCTTCGCCTGCTTGTAGTCGGGCAGCTTGCTCTCCATCCAGATGAGATCGGCGAAGGGAGCGTATGCGACGGCGCGGTTGACGGCGCACTGGGTGCCGCCCTGGTAGCGGTAGAAGCCCTCGCGGGTACGGGGGGATTCCCAGTTCCAGAAGATGTCGACGCCGGCGAGGCTCTTGGCAATGGCGCGGGATTCGGTGTTGCTCTTGCCCTTGGAGGCAGTGAGGTACTGATCGATGAGGGCCTTCTTGTTGGCGTTGGAGCCGGCGTTAATAGTGTCGATGACAGCTTCGCTGAAGAGCTTGAGGCCGGCCTGGGCGGTCCATTGGTCCTCAATTTCCTGCAGCTGAGCACCGTTCTTGCCAGCCTGCTCAGCGGCCACCATCAGGTCGTTGAGAGGCTGGATGCTTGAGTTTGTGGAGCCGACGATGAAGGCGTGGTCGCGGTGGTCAATGGTTGATGTGATGAGGGTGGCGGCCTCGGAGTCAGTACGGGCGATGGCCAGGAGGTCAGAGCCCATGATATCGGCCTGGGCGCGGATGGCAACCAGACGGTTGATGTGCTCGCTGATGGGGACGAGGACCTTGCCGGCCATGTGGCCGCACTTCTTTGTGCCGGGGGCCTGATCTTCGATGTGGATACCGGCGGCACCACGCTCGACAAACAGCTTGGTTAGCTTCATGATAGCGGTCAAACCGCCGTGTCCGGTGTCGGCATCGGCGATAATGGGTCGCAGGTAGTCGACGTTGGCGACGTTTCCTCGCTGGCCGGCGGGGGTAGTAACGCGCTCCTCGCGCTGTTTACGGTCATGGAAGAGCTGTGCCATGAACAGCTGGTTCACCTTGCGAGGCACGGTGTCCTATTGGGGTAATTGTAAGTATGCGCCAACTTTTGATATCGCTAGTATATTCAACGTACCATGGGGTAATCTGCCAGATCGGGGGAGGGCTCATCGGTTGACGAAGCAGTAGACGAACTCTGCCAGCCAGAGACGTAGATAGTATCGAGGAACTTGCACATTTGAGTGATCATGGTAGGCTCTAGACATCCGTAGGTGTAGCTGGCCTGCTTGTTCTGTTCGTGAAGTGTATAGTTAGTATCTTTAGGATCGTGGAGGGTCCACATTTCCCAGCTAAACTTACCTGGAAGTTTGATTCGACAATACCCCAGAGCTTCTTTGCTTGCACATTGGACGGGTAATCGATCTTCAGGTTACCACGCTTGGCCACAATCTGCTCGGCTGTGAAAGGCCGCTTGGTGTAGCGCCACCGAGAGTCCTTCCACCAGTTTTGAACAGCCTGAACCTCCGCCGCAAACTGGCGGTCCTCATCTTCGTGTAGACCCATGACTTTTTGGTATAATACAGAAAAAGAAGGTTACAAATATAATCAAATAATATATGCAGGCGTGGAAGTGTCACGTCCGTTCCAATGGTAATCCAAATATAGACTGAAAGAAATATAGAAAGGAATATCCAGGTAAGAAGGGAATCGAAGCTGTAATAAAAAAGAAGAAGTGATCACAAGCCAGAACAACCTAGGGTACTTATTAAACATTCCAATGCGTCACTGTCGGTAAACGTTCGGCTGACCGGGAACCAAGCCAATACTTCCTAATTTCCCAATTGCCTAGGTACACACTTTCTCATCTTTCACGGGCAAAGCGCTCCGAAAGGCGGAAGGCGGGTATAACTGGGCTCGGAAGAGAGGATCCAGGCTTTGATGATCCTCGGTCTAATGGGACAACCCTTTGCCACTGCTGACTGGGCCAAATCTTCCATTGATGTGATAATCAGCATCTCACTGGAATGTAGAGAGTATTGCATCCTATGTGCCTTTTTTTTTATCCTTTTTCCTTCTTGGTTGTTCAAGTTGATGTGATATTGTGTAATGTTCTAATGCTCAATGTTGAAATGTTCAAACTAGATGACGTCGAAGACACATGCCATTGCCGTGACAATACGAGATACATTGTAAGGTAATTTTCACGTGCATCAACTACACATTCGGAGCATCTTCATCACTTGGGAATAGTCTATTTGGTCAAATAGACTAGAAACTCTCTGTAATACTCAGCTATACGTGCTATAGTCTGGGCAATTGAAAGAAATCGCCGCCATTCGGAGAGAAACACTGTCCAGAGAACAATGTCTGAGTCATCCTTGCCGTCTTGTCATGCCCCGGTATTCGACGAGTCTCCACAATCCTCAAGTTTGTTTACCTATACCACAATCTACTGTATTCGGCGGTGATTCGGTATTTATATCTTCAGTTTCCAAACTACTTATGATATACACATAGACATAGATCCAGGTAGTATACTGGAAACAACAAGCTACACAAGCCACCATCCTCACTGTAATCCTTCACTATATTGTACATATCCATCCACCCGAATATATCTTGGCGACCTAGCATTTACACGAATTTAGGCCGGGAAACATGATGCTCCCAGATGACCTGCACGTGCATCTATCCAATCGCAGGAAATCTACCGTGTTGATTGAAAATAAAATGACTCAAAACCGCCCTACAAGTTGGACCTCGGCACAACTGAGCTCTGCCAATCTAACCGCATACAGCGTCGATAAGACTTCTAGATTAGGAACTATACAAATGAAACTGGGGTCTAGAACAAGAACATGAAACAAGGTATTTTTGGACCCTGTGCAAGAGATTTAAAGAGAGCATCCCTGGTCCTCTGTACCGTACTTGCACTTGTAAACGGAGTATATCGCGTGCCTCTCCCATGGACGAGTATTTGGATATCAGATAAGCTTGAAAAATGCTTAA